TGAACCAACCTTGCATTCCTGGGATAAAGCCTACCTGATCATGATGTATAATCTTTTTTATAAGTTGTTGTGTACGATTTGCTAGTACCTTGTTGAGAATCTTCGCGTCTATATTCATCAGGGATATTGGTCTATAGTTTTCCTTCCTTGTCCTGTCCTTATCTGTTTTTAGGATAAGGGTGATAGAGGCTTCATAGAATGAATTAGGGAGAGATTTTATATTTTATATTTTCTTTTGGATATTTAGAAATAACTTGAGCAGAATGGGGGCTAACTCTTCTTTGAAAGTTTTGTAGAATTCAGAGGTGAATCCATCAGGGCCAGGGCTTTTCTTTGTTGGGAGGTTATTTATAACCGATATGATCTCCTGGCTTGTTATGGACCTATTCAGACTTTCTATATCCTCCTGGCTCAATCTAGCCAAACCCAGTGTCTTGAAAATGATGCCGGATGCTTGTGTGCATATGCCCAAGATCAGGGAGGAGAATGGAGGAAAAGGGATTGAGTCTGGCATGGCCATCCTCCCTGGGGGGTGAATTTTCACCTTCTCTCCCACTATCTCTGTCTCTGTCTCTCTCTCCAGTGAGCACACATACCCTAAGGCATAAACCTCTAAAAAAAAAAAAAAGAAAATATATAGTCTTTTTCTAAACTGAACCACTGAAACAATAAGTGAAATTTTGTATTAAATTACAGGAATACAGTCTCCTTATTGAATATGTTTTCTAGTAAATTGATTCCCGTAGATACAATAGTAGGTACGAAAAAAAGACGTTTCAGAAAGTTGATGTCCAGTTTTAAAAGGAAGGTCATTAACACAAATAGCAAGACAGTCCACCAAGGATCACCAAGGGTGAAGCAAATGCACAATAAAATGAGAGGAAATTAATTCTATGTTTTCTAATTTGGTGTCTTAAGCAATCATCATGTGGCCTAAGCTTTTTCATAGTATTAAAATAACCAAAGATCTAACATTAACTAGATTGCTGCTGTGTTAAAGTATGTCCTGGGTCATACTTCGTGTTATACTATGCCAAGAACAACTATTATTTCTGTTTGCAATCAGTTTGGAATTCAAATGAAATACTTAATTTTATTCATTTAAAAAGTGTTTTCCAAAAATTAAAAAAAAGAAGGGGGAGAGAATGGTAATTTCACTCAATGAAGTAATTATTTTAGATCTGGAAGAGAGCCATTAAAGTCATCCAGACCAGGTTGTGTTGTATTGTATTGTGTTGGGCCAACGGAAGCTTTTACCCAAAGAAATCTTCAGAGGAAATCCAATGGGAAGCAGACCAAAGTAGAGCTCCCCAGGGAAATGCAGTGGCGAGTCAGAAAACAGTTCCTCATCTCCCTGGCTCCTTGGAGTTTCCAAAACTCCAGGAGGTGTTTGTCCATATCTCAATCCTTCTGTCTCCTATTGCTGGCATGCAAGTTTAAAACCTGTGATAGTTCAACCTGATTGTTTCACAAATGAGGAAATGAAGCTTGGTGTGTGTCCAGCCAGCCAGCCTTCAGTTGAGTTTAAATCTGTAAAAGATATATTTTCTCATTGACTTCTCCCACTACTCTATAAAATATCATTTATTATATGACACCCACTTTTTTCAGATCAGTGAACATTATCTCCATAAGAAGCTATATTCTGACAACCTAGACTAACCTAAACCTCCCACATACTTAAAGCTATACTTGAAATTCTCATCAAATGTTTCATAATGTTGTCAGTGCATACCTACCGACTTAAATATAAGCCCTATAACAAGAACAGGATTTGTTATCTCCACCATTAAGTCCCCAGAGCCTAGAGCCTAGTCTAAAAGCAGACCATCAGTGAGTGCCTCGGGGAAGGGTCATCCCATCTGTGTCCTTCTACCCCCTCTCCTCCCCGTGCCTGGTACCTGCTTAGCTCAGAGGAGCTGATCTTTGAATTGAATTGAGTCTTGAAAATGAAACTACATAGATGTCAGAAAAGTCTATTCCGGGCCATATTCAGGCTATTCCTAGGGTTAGCTGGTCCTGATAAATTGTCCTACCTAGTTATTCCTTAGTCTTGTCAATCATAAAATAAAGGAGCTGGATTGGGGGGGGTCTGTAAAAACCCTTCTACTCTGAACTTCTGTGATGCTGTTTTCCTGTGCTTGAAAACACCCCACGAAGGTTCTAAGCAGGAACTTAAGCTAATAGATCACACATACAGTCATGGGCTGTAAACATGTGAATCAGCAATGGACTGCACAAGGGTGTACTATATGGCCTAAGTGTATAATAGGCTGCCATATACGCTTGTGTTAATCCACTCACTGATGTTCACACGATGATGAAATCACCTAACATTCTCAGAATGCATTACCCCTCGCTAACCAACACATAGCTATACACATAGGGGTGTGTGTGTGTGGGGGGGGGGGCGGTCTTCAAAAAGTTCATGGAAAATACATGTCATGAAAACTATGCCTGGATTTCAAAATTTTGTGTACCAAAATAAACTCGTATTTTAATTCCTGGGTTTTTCTGTAATGAACTTTGAAGTTTCATTACTATATGCATAAAAATTCTAAATGGGAAACAGTTGTTATGAGGGGACCTTAGGAGTCAAACCACATGCAATGAATATTCATTTTACCATTTATCATTTACTAGCTGGTGACTTTCAGTGAGATATTTAATTTACCTGCACCTCAATATTTTTATTAACAAGAGTGAGGACTTATAAACCACATAATTGAAGTATTACTATAGTGCTAGATGCCTAATAATATCTCCACAAATATTGATATTATCATCACTATTATTAAATATAGGAATGCTCTCCATTTAAACATATATAAAAATAGTGCTTGATGACATTTTCCATAAATTCACTGGTGTTTCCTCTTAACATTTTAGGAGACAAAGCCATAAAGGGAAACAAGGTAAGAGAAATATTAAACTGTATTACTTACTCATTTGGTGGAAGCATAGAGATATCACTTGATAAAACGTCCTGCAAGTTTGCTCGTGATTTATAGAGTTTCTATTTCTTAATCAAGAAATTGTTAATCATTGGCCTCGGTCAAAGAATAATAAATTTAATTTGTTTCTCTTTCCTTTTGCAGACTCCTTTACCACCTCCTCGGTGAGACATTTAAAATAGTATTTTGTTTTACAAATGCTTAATAAGTTCTTTATGTGCCAGCACTTGAAAAAAAGAAACTCAAAAATCTGACATTGAAAAATTAATACAAATTAGCTAACAAATAAATTAAACAAGTCTTCATTCATCCATTTAATAATTTATTCATTTGTAGTTATTTATTCAATGTACCTTCAATCATTTTTCATTTTATTTACTATTTTTAATTTGCTGTAGGGCACATGCACTCACCAGAGGGAGAGAGAGAGAGAGAGAGAGAGAGAGAAAGCAAGCCACCAGAATCAGGGATTCAAACTGCGGTCAGCCATGTGGGAGGCCAGCAGGTGAGGTGGTGGTTAGGCGCTGGGCTAAGTACATGTGCCGGGTGTGAGTTTAAGCTGCCGAGTCTGGGACTCAAACCACAGTCGACTACATGGGAGTCCAGTGACATAGCCATTACGCCAACTGCTGGTTCTCAGTTAACATGTCTTGATGAACATTTTTTTCTCAATTCCTTCTGGCTTATCTCCCTTCTTTTATACAAAAATCTGCCTAGATTCCCAAGACTGGAGATTGGGGTTTGCCCTCAAGAGATTTACCCATATACAAGTTGAGTATCTCTTATGAGAAATACTTTGAACTGGAAGTGTTTCAGACTTTGGTGCTTTATTTTCTTGAGGAGAGATTTTGAATACATACACAAATATAATAGGATATCTTAGAGTTAAGACCCAAGTTTAAACACAGAATCCATTTTTTTAAGTAAACACACGATCTTCAAAAAGTCCATGGAAAATGTGTATTATGAAATATTATATGCAAATTTCAATTTCTTTGCACCAAAACAAACTTACACTTTCATTCAATTTTTTAATAAACTTTTTTTTTGAAGAGGTTTTTACTATAGGGCGTGTGTGTTCACCAGACAGACAGAGAGAGACAGAGAGACAGAAAGCGAGAAATCACCCCCCAGGGGGGATGGTCACACTGCAATCCCTTCTCCTTCATTCTTCTCTTGGGATCTTGGGCATGCACGCACACGCGCCCGGCGTGCTGGTGTGAGTTTTAAGCCACAAGGTCCGGGACACATACCGCGGTCAACTACATGGGAGTCCAGTGGCATAGCCATTACGCTAACTGCTGGTCCCTATTTTAATAAACTTTTTAAGTTTCTTTGTATACCTTATACACATAACCTAAAGATAATTTTATACAATATTTTTGTGGTTCAGTGCCTTGACTACATACAACCTGTCATAGAAGGTCAGGTATAGAATTTTCCACTTGTAGTGTCATGTTGACACTCACAGAGTTTTGAATTTCAGAGCATTTTGATTGAAAAATTTCAGACTAAGGATGTTCATTCAACTTGTAATACATCAATAAATATAAACATTATATTTCTACATATATATAAAGGGCAAGAGCAGCACGCTTGGCCGCTGAGGGTCTGAGGAAGTCTGTATTTACCGTGGGCCCTGCACACGCCTGTGTCACAGCATCAGTCACACTCTGGCCGTCATTTCTTCCTTTTCTTTTCTTTTTTTTGGAGAGGTTTTTGCTATAGGGCGCGTGTGCTCGCCAGAAAGAGAGAGAGAGACAGAAAACGAGAAATCACCCCCCAGGGGGGATAACTGGCCATCATTTCTTCAGTGCTATTTCTTCCCACCTAGAGGGAAGCACTTTGCACCAAGGACTGTGCCTTTTTCTTCTATCTCCAGCGTCTACCAAAGTGCCTAATATACTTTTTGAATGAATGAGTGAATGAATGAATAAAAAGGAGTGAGGCATTTATTGACTTTTTTTTCATATTTCTTTGGGGAACTTTAAAAATTTGAATCTGAAGACCAGCAGGTAATATAGTGATTAAGGTGTTGGACTCCCACATGACCAACTGGTTCAAATCCAAGATCCAACAGCTTAAAAATTATGCCAGGTACATGTGCATATGTGCCCAAAGTCTCAAGGAGAATGGAGAGAAGGCAATGCAGTGTGACCATCCTCTATTGGGGGGGGGGGCGATTTCTCACTTTCCCTCTGTCTCTCTCCAGCGACCACACATGGCCTACGGCAAAAAAAAAGAAAACACACACACACACACACACACACACACACCTTGAGTCTTAACATCTATAATAAATAACAAGTAGAAGGCTCTTAATCAAATATTCCCCAGGGCTCTTCAAACTAAAACCAGTATTGATAAGCACAGGACATTTTATAGAAAGTTATATCACACCCTTTAGAAAAATCGCAGACCAAAAGGCACGATGCAGAGAGGTGGACTCCGACTCACTGGAAAGAAAGCCCAGACCTCTGAAGCTACGCGGACTAGGTCAGGCTGCCCTGCAAAGTAGGGAACATTCCAAACCTGAAGTTCCAGCCCACAGCTGGGGACACCAGAGCTGGGCAGCGTGAACTCAGGGTCTGAGGAGCCCCTTTTGCAGCAGATCTTCTGAGGTCCCTGCTCGGACTCTTCTCACAGGCCTCCCATCACTCTGCCAAAGAAGTACCAGCCCTTGCCCCCGGAGCCGGAGAACAGCAGGTCATCTTTCCCTCAGAGACACACCTTTCCTGAAGTCCACAGAGTGCCCAGGTGAGACATTTGTGGTTGCTGCTGGTGAAGTTACCAGGAAGAGTGAAGGGGTGGGGGAAGGCGAGAGGGAAAACCACACAAATAATCTTTCTGCACAGGCTTCCTAAGGGGAGAGCAGGAGCCAATTACAGGTGGGAACATTCTTAGAAACTTGCAGTTCGATTCTTTACTGAAAACACAGCTTTTTTGTAATAGAATGAGCTATTGAAAGAATTGCTCACTTAAGGCCTGAATTATTTGTTAGAGAAAATGTTCAATATCAACAGAGAATTAGGGTATCTTATGTAACAATCAAAAGGGGCTCAGATTATTCAAGGACCAATACTGGCCCCTGGCTTCCCAGCACCCAGGCTGGAGAAATAAAATCACTCTTGAAAATACTTTCATCATAACGGTTACAGCTTTGGGCCATCAGGTGGTGTGGCCGTTAAGGGGCTGAATTCCCCAGGTGACTCCCTGGTTTACCCTACTGGTGGCTCGAAAAACATGCTGGGTGCATGTGTATGTGTGCCCAAAATCCCAAAAGGAAACTGAAGAGAAAGGATTGCAGTGTGGTCATCCACACTGCAAGGATGGGGTGATTTTTCACTGTCCCCCTTTGTCTCTCTCCGGCAAGTGCACACACCTGGTAGCAAAAATCTAATAGATAAATAAAAGAAACAAATAAAAATAACCACGCTTGTGTCTTCAAATTCTTATGAGGAGGAATACAATCTCTGTAAAGTGCCTGGGATTTTATTGTTCACGGCACAGGAAAGAAAGAAAGAATGGAAAACAATTATGACACATTATCTCCCATCTGCACCCAGCCAAATTAGGCACGCATAAGCTGCTTTTTCTTAAAATAGAATATATTCTAGTGCAATGTTTCTCATATTGGCTTTACATTAAAGTAATTGAAAAGCTTTTTAAAGGGCTGGCAGGTGGCATGCTGGTTAGAGGTGTTGGGCTCTCACATGGCCAGTGCGGTTCTAGTCCTGGACCAGATGGCTTGTGGCCTGCTTTCTCACTTTCTCTCTCTCTCTCTCTCTCTCTCTCTCTCTCTCTCTCTCTCTCTCTCTCTCTCCCCCCTCTTTGGTCAAATTTAAATAAATTAATATAAATTTTGTAAAAGAAATTCTAAAAAAAAGGTTTTAAAAAATCTACCCCCCCCCAGGAACCAGCAGGTGGCATAATGTTTACGTTGCTGGACCACCACGTAGTTAATCATGGTTCAAGTGCCAGACCCAGCAGCTTAAAACTCACACCAGATGCATGTGCATGCATGCCTAAGATCCTGAGAGGAGAATGGAGAAGAGATTGTGGCGTGGCATCCCCCTGGGGGATGATTTTTCGCTTTCTCTTTGTCTTTTTCTGTCTCTCTGGTAAGCACATGCACCCTACAGCAAAAATCTCTCTCTCTTAAAAAAAAAAAAAAAGAAAGGAAAAAAGTATTCTCCCCAGTATCTCTTTTAATTACTCAGAGGTGGAACCTGGGCATCAGTATATTTTAAAGCTCCCCCTAATGAGCAGCTGGGCTCAGAACCCAGAGGAATCCAGGCTGTAGGACCAGATCTGCCACAGAAGCTTTGAGGGGCCTTGAGCCTCATCTGCCCATGCACAAGTGTCCAATGTCTGGCAAATGGTAATGGTCCCTTGATCACCAAATGAGTTCCTCTGCAGTCCAAATCATACCAGACTATTGTGCTACAGTCTTAGTGGTGTTGGTATCTTTAGAAGCTGAGCATTTTTAGGGACCTGCAGTTGGCATAATGGCTATATCACTGGACTCCCTTGTAGTTGACTGTGGTTCAAGTCCCCGACCTGGTGACTTAAACTCACACTGGGCGCATGTGCATGTGTGCCCAAGATCCCAAGAGGAGAATGGAGGAGAAGGGATTGTGGCATGGCCATCCCCCCTGGGGGGGGATTTCTCACTTTCTGTCTCTCTGTCTCTCTCTTTCTGGTGAGCGCAGGCGCCCTATAGCAGAAACCTCTAAAAAAAAAAAGAAGAAGAAGAAGAAGAAGCTGGTGTTTTTCTATCTCTGGGGTTTGTAGTTATGTAATCATTTTTAGATCTGGTAAGAATTGTGCTAGACCTCTTACCTTTAGCCCCTCCGAAGGGTCATTACATTTGGACTCACTGAATCCTCCAGCAGCCCCGTGAAGTGTGGGTCCCTAAGGCTTGAGGAGTAAAGGGCTCAGCCAGTGGATGATACATAGATTCTCAGTAAATATTACCTCCCTACCTATTGACACATAAGGTCACTAAAGGTTCAGAGAAGTTAGGCAACTCAGTCAAAGTCACAGGGTTACCATATGACTGTTGAAGGGGCAGAAAACATGCGAAGCCCCAGAGGAAACACTGGCAATACCAGGAATAAAAGAGTTTTTGCTTTGAGAAGAGAGCCATGCTTTCAAATTCACTTTTCACAAGGTCTACATTGGTAGTCAGACACCCTTACTGATGACCCAAGTTGCATGTCAACAACCACATGAGGCTATCGCTTTGAAAACAGAAGGGACATTGGAGAGCTGAGCTTCTACAGCGGACCCATGCAAGATAATGCCTGCTCCCCTACCACCAGCTGCTCCTGTAAGGAAGGCACAGTGAGAAGAATTGCCCTCTCTAAACTTCAGGCTATGATTAACATCTGGCCAGCCCTGACAGCTGCAGCCCTTTACAATTGGCAGTGCTCACCCGATGATGGTGGCTCCAGCTATTGTGTTTCAACCCCTATTTGTCTTCACCAGCTCTCCCTTTCTCTTTTTTAAAGCTAAATCTTGGCTTTACAGAACAAATGCTAAATCAAAACGCTTCAGTTAAGAAGAATGTCACTTAGGTCATTCATTGACAACTTTGACAAAGAAAACTTCGAAGTCTGGAAAATGTTAGCTGGACATTCTCAATCATGTATGCACTATTCTTACAATTTTTACAATATCTGTGTACTTACTATTTTTCCTCTCAGCTCATTTTTTAAATTTAAGTAAATTTACTTAAAACAAAGACATTACCATAAATTTCTCCAACACAGACAATTTCAGACCAAAACTTAGAGACTGCAGAATTTTCTGTCTGATAAAAGGAGAAATAAGTAAACACTAATGTGGTATTTAAAGATATATTAACCACCACATTGAGATTCTCACCACATTGAGAATAACCTGAAAGAGAATTTAAAAAATAACTTTCTAATTAAGTATCATTGTAATTTTAATCCCATGGTCCATGCACCAAATAAAAGCATCCTAAATAACAACCAGAGTACACAACAACAGCTTCTGAGTTCTACATACACACAAGCCCAGTTTGGAGTCTTTTGTGTGTATTAACTCATTTAGTCTCACAACAGCACTGTGTGAAATGCAATATCACTGTCCTCAATTTACTGACAAAGATGCAGAAATACAGAGGGCAGTGTGCCAGCATATGTCATTTAAGCCTCAGTAAACACAATGGCCCAAGGCACGAGGTTTAGTCAAGGAATAGCTTAAATAGAGCACCTGATTTTTAAGGAACAAAACACTCATGCACCTAACAATGGCTTTCTTTTTCAATCAGCAATACCAACATCACATCTGTTTAAGTAATCTCTATGGTAAAATTATAGATGGAGTATCCCTGATCGGAAAATCGAAGCACTCCAAAATTTTGAAACTTTCTAAGCACTGACATGACAACACAAGTAAAACATTCTACACCTGAACTTACGCAATAGGTTGCAGTGCGAATACTGCAGGACAGAAAGATTACATGAAATTACCTCCAGGTAAAAGGTGTCTATGAACCCTAACTTTTATGTTTAGATGTGGGTTCCCCACAAAATAAGATATGCCCACAATATCTTCTTATTACATATGCAGATATTTCAAAATTCAAAATCTGAAACATTTCTGAGGTCCAACATTCTGGATTTTTACATGCTCTACCTGTATATATTCTGATGACTTGAAAAGTGAAAAAAGAGTTTTAATGAATTTCAAGAAAGAGTGGTTATTTGAAAGAGGAAGTATGAATCAAAAACTTGCACTTATGAGTGGAAACTATTGAAATTAAAGTGTGAACTTTGTTTTTATGGTTCTCTAAGATGTCACCATGGGGGAAACTGGGGAAAGGTACCTAGGATCTCTCTTCGTGAGCATCCATAATTATCTCGGAGTAAAACATTTATAAGAAACCGCAAACGTTAAAGTGTTCTAAGGGTGTAACATGCTGTTGCACTCCAAACAATTTTCACATATATGTTTGCATTAGAACTTTCAACAGTCCTTTTCTTTCCTGTCTGGATTTATCCATTTTGTTTTGTTTTGTTTTGTTTTGAGAGGTTTTTGCTATAGGGCACGTGCGCTCACCAGACAGAGAAAGACAGAGAGACAGAAAGCGAGAAATCACCCCCCCAGGGGGGATGGCCACGCTGCAATCCCTTCTCCTCCATTCTCCTCTCGGGATCTTGGCCATGCATGCACACACGCCAGGCGTGAGTTTTAAGTCACCAGGTGCAGGACGCGAACCGCGGTCGACTGCATGGGAGTCCAGCGACATAGCCATTACACTAACTGCTGGTCCCAAGGATTTACCCGTTTTGTAGGTGAGAAAATTAATCTTCAGAATGGAAATTTAACTCATTCAGGGTAATAGAGCCCATGGATCACAGAGCAGGATGCAAATCCAATTAATTCAAAACAAAGCCAAAAACTAAAAGGTGTTCAAGAAGGACTACATTTATAGTACAAAGTAAAGCCCTTAAGTGTACACTAACACCTATCACTCGTAAGAAAAAAATGTGGGAACACTTTTTCCCTGTGGTTAATGACCATTATTAATTGGCTGTCTCCAACAGACAGAACTGGACACAATTATGCTTTGAAGAGGAAACGCGGTGCCCTGGGAGGCCCTGGATGTCAGGAAACAGGAGCTCCCACCTGCACTACACAGAAGGAACTCCTTAACCACTTGGTTCTCAGTTAAAAGACAATGTATTGGGCTACCTTTGTGGCCTAACTAGATCCCATATGACCAACTGTAGCTCAAATCCCAGCCCCAGTGGCTTCAAAAACATGCGGGGTACATGTGTGTGTGCCCCAAATCCTGACAGGATAGGGGGAATGGAGACGGACCACAGCGTGACTGTGCCTGCTGCGGTAGGGGCTTACTTGCTTTCTCTCACTCTCTCACTCTTTCTCTGTCTAGAGACCACACATGTCCTCTGGCACTATAAATAAATAAATAAAATGTATTCAATCTATTAAAGTTACAACTCCCAAAACCTAGCTTTCTTAAAGCCCCAAATTTTAATCTATCAATATAAAGTATATTGTCCTATTTGTAAATCAATTGATTTTTATCTAGACAGAAAGATGTTCAGACTCCTGGTTTCAACAAATATTAACTAAATCAAGTTAGATTAAAAAATCTGAGACAAAAAGATTGGCTTACAAGCTCACTTAAATCTCACTAAATATTTTAAATACCTTTATAAACTTATTTGATTTTTAAGTAATTCTGGTGCTAGTATAAATCCTAGCAAAACTTTCTTTAATAATTTCTGTAAATCTAATAAAGTAAATGTGTAACTATATAGAAAAACACAAGTTCTTTTAATGCGTTCAAATGTTTTACAGATGGAATCAAACTTCTGTGTCTCTTAAACTTTATAAACACTGAGATTAGACTCAGTTTAACCCCAAAATAATCAGTGCTGTGAAGTTTGTCCTACTTTCTTACTTCTAATTGTACCTCGTTAGTTTGGCTTTTACCCAGCTAAAAGGGGAAGGGCAGGGTACAGATGTACTATCTCACATAGACTGATGTAAGAAGTTAAACTTTCAAAGTTCTGTTGCTTGAAGGTCTGAGATTGGGATATAGCTTCTGAGCACTGCATACCTCTGGAGTCGTCTTATCTGATACGGATGTCTCCTTAAAACTCTATATCAATAAACTTCAACTGCGATTGGTGTTGCATTCCTGACCTTTGCATTGTTTGGTTCCAATCTTTGCACTGGCAGAACCAGCTAGATGGAATGTGCATTTTCACCCCACCTCCTTCAGCTTCCTCTTCTGACTTTGACCACCTACTAACGGTAGGGCCAACTACATGTTTTAAGTTAGAAAAGTTTAGCTCCATTTGTAAAGATTTTGAACTATAGGAACCACAGATGACATAATGGTTACGTTGCTGGACTCCCACAGGGCCAATCATGGTTCTAGTCCTGGACCTGGAGGATTGAAATGCCAGGCACACATGCATGCATGCCCAAGATCCTGAGAGAAGAATGGAGGAGAAGAGATTGTAGCATAGCCATCTCTCCTGGGGGGTGATTTCTCGCTTTCTGTCTCTTTGTCTCTCCGGCAAACACACAAAAGCTATAGGAAAAAATCTCTCTACCAAGAAAAAAAAAAAAGTTAAGAGAACTTGCATTTTTCTATAGTTATACATTTACTTTATTAGATTTACAAAACCTACTGAAAAAAATTTTGCTTGCTAGGATTTATACCAGCCTGGTCAGAATCAGAATTAATTTAAGATCAAGTAAGTTAAATTTATAAAGGTATTTCACATATTTAGTGAGATTTTCATTTGTTTGTCACTAACTATTCTCAATTCTCATAATACCCTAAGAATCCATCGAGATGAATACCATGGCTACCATTTTGTAGATGAGAAAAATGGGATTTAGCGAGTTAATTGACTTGTCAGTATAATGAAAGGCTTGGAGTTTATTCTAAGAATAAATGTCCATGTTAGCAAATTTCATGTTGAATTCTTTCACTATCCCTCAGTTTCATGTTTGTTTGTTTGTTTTCTCACTGTCTCAGATCTCTTTTCATTATCAGAATCCATTTTATTTAAAGATTTATTTATTTATTTCCATTTGCTATTGTTATTTTTTTCTTTATTTGACAAGAGAGAGAGAGAAAGGGAAAGTGAGAAAGCAAGGCACCAGGTCCAGGACTTGAACCATGGTTGGCCATGTGGGAATCCAGCGCCCTTATCCACCACACCACCTGCTGGCCCCTCGGGATCCTTTTTATTACACATGCCTTCCTGGGATCTCACTGTACTTGAAAGCTTCATATTAAAAACACTTGCATTTCCTCAAAGCAAAAAAAAAAAAAAAAAAAAAAACTAAGAGCTTTTCTGACTGTGTTAATGAAACATGACACGGAAAATGAAAGGTCAAGAGAAATTATGATGTTATTTAAATGCTCCTACAATGAGAAGAAGCAAGTCTATTCAAGTCCTTTCTACCCCCACTTTTTATATTGGTTCATAACTTCTTTCCCTTAAAAAAATAATGAGAAGAATAACCTGGCTTTAGATTTACAGAACAGTAATAAAAATCACGTTGGCCTATGGGCTGTTAACTTACAATAAAAATGTAATTAAAGGTTTGTTAAGGGCATTGAATGATTTTTTTCCTTGGTCATTATGAACTATATTTTAAACACCATATTTTTTTTTTCTTGCAGACAGATAAGCTTAAATGATTTAAGTGAGGTGAGTAGCAATTTTGTCCAGAGAAACAAAGATGGTAATACTTGGGCATTAAGTGTTGGTGATGGGCAAAATTCTGTTTGTTTCAGATACTTTATCACATTTAATTTTCACAATCACTATGCCCAAAGTGCATTAGTGTGATATCTCTATTTCAAATGCAAAAGAGCTAAAGTAAAATAAATGAAGATACAGATTTTAAACCAAGATTGTATTTTGCTTTCATGGTTGTTCTGTGTTTATTCTGGTATAATGAAGAGTGTGTCTAAAACCACATCATTTTTAAAACTTTTTTGGTTGTTAGAAAGTAAATACTTTCATGCTAAATAGTAATGCCTCTTTTATTTCCTACCTCTCATCCATTCTTATTTTTCTCCTTCTCTCTCCCTCTCTTAGTCTCTATTGCCTCCACTGATGACTTTTAATCTTCAGCATTACAGAAATAAAATGTTGGGAATGTATTGTACCTTGCTAATTATTCTTCAGTGGAAAGACAGAAGTGCAAGCTACAAAAACATGAGATTCAGACTTATGCTGAGCTGGTGTTAATCCTGTTCTGTCACCTACTTGTTATGTGAACTTTGTCAAGTGCTCCCACCCTCCATGATCGGTTTACTCAACCATAAAATAGGGGTGGGTGCATTTCTTTGCAAGTTGTTATTATGAAATCAAAGTAAGTGCACAAACAGCCAGGTGTCTAGGACATCCTCGAAAAATGGCATGAAAATCATGATGGACCTATCTTAGAACCTTATAGATGCATTACTTCCCGAAGTCTCCCAAGAGGATTTCCTTTTCTACAGGCTTCATGCTGGCCTTACAGTTTGGCTGACAGATGTAAAGAGAATGGTGGATACATTCAGAGAGAGAGACCTAGAGACAGCCATCTTGCTTTCATAACAAATCCACTCTCACAGGAATAAATCTCTTCTCATGAAAGTTAGACCTTACTCGGTCTTATAAAATCCTTTCATGAATCTGATACCTTCATGATTCTAGAGCTACCTACTAGGCATACTCCTTAAAGTTTTCTTTACCTCAAATACCATTACACTCAGGACCAAATTCTAAAACGAGAAACTTTGGGGAACAAACGATTACCCAGATCAACAAGTTATTGTCTTCTTTGTTTTTTATTGGTTGGCTTTATGAGTTTGCTAAAATGAAAGTATATTTCTACCTTGTCTTTCAAATAAGACATTTGTCACACCTAACTACTCTACTCCTACTTGACTATGTCAAGAAGAGTAACATATGTAGCTGTTAGGTGAGAGGTACAGAGGGCTGGTTCTACAGAGGACTTCACAAGTTGGACTTCCCAAATGCCACTAGGCAGGAGCAAGTTGTGGGTGACTCTCTGCTCCTGAGGAAACCCACAAATCTAAGATGCTTGAACCCAAAGCTCTACCCTTTACTCCTGTGGATCAAATTTACGTGTCTCAACTATTAGTTGACTTCCCCTTAAGATGATCTCAAGTTTGTAACTCAATGGCCAATCTGAGAGTATAATTGATTCTCCAATCACTAACAAGGAGGCAGGAAATGTGGGCAGAGGAGTCACCCTGAGGCAGCAGAGAGCATGCAGAACTGTTTATTTTCTTTGCAACTCTGATTGGTATTATCCCAGAAGTGAGTATCATCTAAAGAATAACATGGTCTAGTGAAAGAACACATTCTTGTTCTGAATTTTTTACCAAAACACTACTACGTCATTGGGCTGAGATTCAAGACCATTTCCCCATGATAAAAGCCAATCTCAAAGAGCAAATGCCACATATGTGTGTGCCTAAAGTGTTTGTTCGAATGATATCTTGTGAAGTAGATCTATTTCTGCAGAAAGGATGTGCTACCTATCCCAACTCAAAGGCATATGGAGCTACATAGTTTTCAAAGAAAGTCTCAGTCCATCTTCACATAGCCCCAACACAAAAATGCAGCCTCAGAGAGGTGGACAATTTGCCAGGTCCCACAGCTGGCAGAAGATAGACCTAGTCGCTGAAATCCCAGAGTCCAAATCTATTCCCTGTAGCCTTTCTTTAAGCACTCTGCCTTAAAAAATACAGAGACACCTCTGAGCCAAAATAATTTTTAAAAAAAATAGGAAGAAAGGTATAAGTGGAAGGAAGGGCTGAAATAAGAAGGGAGGGAGAACAGAAGGAAAGAACAGGGTCAGAGAAACAGAAAAGGGAAGAGACTTGGGAGACTAAAGGAGGCATTACTATCTAACTAAACATTTATTTCTAACAATAAAAAAGTTAAAGTAGAACAGTCCTAAAGATTTTACTCTATTTTTCTAATTACATTTTATTTTAAATTCAGAGCCTGCAAGCAGAAAGTTGGCTAGGTCTCAATTAAATAAAACAACTGCTCTCCCAAACTAAGAGTTTCTCAGCAGTATTTACAGTTCTGCTTCCCCTCTCCTTTGACAAGTCTGAGAACTACTGCTGCATCTGATTGAGCACTTTGAACTGCCAGATTCAAAGTCCTGGGGAAGACTCAGTGGGGAGACTTTCAAACTACTCATTAGAATGGATTTATGACCCTTTTTACTTAGCCTATAGATTTGCTTTGATTTGCTGTCTATAATGAAATGTATGTCCTCTTTCTAGAACCCTAGGGGATGCCCAGGTCTTTGAAACAAAAGGGCTTGTCTATAGCCTAGCTTCAGACAAGACATATAATGCCTCTCTAAGCAATTTGCTGCTAAAGGTTTCTTGTCTATGAAGCAAATGTGAGCCAAGAGAGCTAGAATCACCATCAGTTTAGCAGCAAGATAGCTGTGGGAACCTGGGCAGATGGCATCACCTTTTGAACGTCATCTGTAAACCAATAGTTTTAACATTTTACGGACCTTAGACCCCTTTGAAAATCTGATGAAAGGTATAATAAACTTTCTCACCCCGATAACAAAAAAGAGACACGCAATAATAGAACACATTTAGCTTTTTGTTTCACAACATTCATGGACTCCACTAGGCCAACCAACCACCTCTTCCATCCTCTAGGTAGTAAGTTAGTGTCTAAATAATACCTGACATCTTCCCCAGCTGATGCAATGTAGGAAATGCACTTCATGGAATTATTTGTAGTTAAATAAACTCTTCAGTGACTACTGTATGATTTCTATAACAAAGGTGATCAGTAATTCTACCATTAATAAGGGAAGAAAGAGAAAGAAAATGTTTGGTAAGGTAATTGGCCACATTTTGGAAGAATTATATAAATATTTTCATGCTCATTTTTTTAAAACAAAAAGTTCAGAATAAGTAAATGAAAACTTTGGTGTAGCCTCATTGCTTAAATACACAACTTCTGTTAATATTTTCTCATGATACTTAAAATTCTTCTCTGGATGCATACAAACACACAGGCACACACACACACACACACACACACAAACACACACACACATACACATATATACATGCCAACATGTAACTATATCATGGCCCCAGTTTTTTTTCTTCAGCTGGTAATTTCAAGAAAAGCAGTTTTAACTTTAATAAATCAAAGAAATGCTAATGAACTTTGCTTAAAACTTAAAGTCAGGAGACAGGTTAGGATTCTGTTCAAAATAGTAGGTACATAACCTTATCGACAGCTCAAGACAGGGCAAAAATCCTTAAAACCAGAAAACAAAGCCTAGAAGAAAATCATCAATGTTTTAGTCAAAAGTCATAAAATGCTTTTCACCAGTTCAGTCTCGTACTTAATCGATCTTCTGTTGTGGTTCAATCTTCCCAGTTAAATTCTAGGATATAATATTCAATGCCAGACTTGTCTCTATGATTAAGTTGGCCATTTTCTTAGTTTCTGAACTCTTTTTTCTGTGTGTCTGTATTTAATTTTCCTGGTATAGCACTCCCTTGAGAACTTCTTGGAGATCTGATCTGGTGTTGGTAAATTCTTTCAGATTTTGTTTATCTGAGAATGTTCTTGTCTTTTCTTTCCATATAAAGGATAATCTTGCTGGGTACAGTATTCTTGGTTGAAATTGTTTTTCTGTTAACACTTTGAATATATTTTCCCATTCTTTCCTCGCTCACATTGTTTCTGATGAGAGGTCTGCTGTTAGCCGGATGGGATATCCTTTGTATGTAACTTGCCATTTTTCTCTTGCCGATCTTAGTATCTTGTCTATGTCTGTGGTTTTGGTCAATCTGGCTATAATATGTATTGGAGAAGATCTTGTGTTGATTCTATTTGGGGTCCTTTGTATTTCTTGGGACTGGATCTTTTAGTGCCTCTCTAGGTTTGGAATGTTTTTGTGCATATCAATTATACAGATGTTTGATGGTATCTAGTATTTTTCATATATTATTCTCATTTTGGGAGGTAGTTTTCTCAGTCTTTGTGGTGATTTTTCTAGGTCAGCAATCTTATCTTCTACACCTGATATTCGATTTTCTGTATGATCTAGTCTCCTTTTAATATTTTCAAGGGAGATTTCGACTTCTTGTATTATAGCCTTCATCTCTAACAGGTCCATTTGATTCTTTCTTTATAGTGTGTATTTCCTCTTTTAGATCTTGCAAGAATTTCCTCACCCTGGAACTCTTGAGCTCTTTCCTTCTGCATCTTCTGCAGTTCATTGTCTCTCTTTTCTTCTATTTCTATTAGCTTCATCATTATAAATATTCTAAATTCTTTATCAGACATTCCCATGATTTCCATTGAACTGTCTGTGAATGAAGAGGAGTTATTCTTTTCTCTTGGAGGAGAGATATTTTCTTGCTTTCCCATATTTATTGTGACCCTGCAGTGATTTCTAGTCATCTGATGGATGTTGTGTTTCTTCCAAATTTTTGAAGTTTAATCTGAGCATTCAGGAGCATGCAGAAAGAGGTGATCTGGAATCTCTTTGCTACCTTTGTTATCCCTTTGTGCAGCAGACTCAGTGGGTATTGAGGAATATGTTAACCCTAATAGTATTTAGATGTTTGGCTATGGTTCTCCAGTGAATGGAGACTGAGGAGTAGAGTGATGAGATAAAATAAAAATAGAAGAAAACAGAGAGAGAGGAAAAAAAAAGAAAGATAAAGAAGAAAAAACAACAACAAAATGTAGTTTTGGGGAAAAAAATAAAACAAGCAAAAAAAAAGCGTGCCGTTCAAAATCACTAGTTCTCAGGAGCAATGATAGAGTCTTCTTCTGAAGGCCTGCCCCTTGCCTCTCCTGGAGGGGAGGGGGCAAGGGAATTTTTAGCAAGATAAAGGAGGAACTAAAAGCCAAGAGAATACTTTACCTTAAAATTTTTTAAAAAGGAAAAATTACCAAAAAACTGAGAAGACAGAGAGAGAGGCAGAGAGACAGAGACAGAGAGAAAGCTAGAGGGCTCCCTATCACTCGAGTTTGGGGGCTGGAGGCTGAATTATCAGTAGAAAATCTTCATTTCTCTTTTTTTCCCTGAAATCACTAGTTCTCAGGAGCAATGGTGGAGCCTTCTTCTCCATGGCCCCAGTTTTTATCCTAAAGTTTTATGTAACATGGAAACATCTTATTCCATTCTCTGCATAAATATTTGCAATACCTTTACAATATTCCCACAAGCAAGTGTAGCACCAAGCTAACTTAGTGATTCTCATTTATCTGGACAGGTAGGTTGTTTCCTATGATTTAACATTATAAGTAACATAAGTCCTGAACATCTTTGCACCTGGAACTTGGTCTAGATTTCTGGTTGTTTCTTAGAAAAAGGGTCTCATTAATGGAATTATTGGAATACGAATACGAGTATTTATAAGGCAGTAGATAACTTCAGTGAAATTTCTTTCCAAAAAAGTCAAAGCAATTTACAGTTCCTTCAGTGGACTGTGCACTTATCTTTTGTATCATACAAAGAGTATAAAATGTTGGCATTTGCTTAGCCTTCTGTAGAATCATTTACAGATTTTTAAAAAGTCCATACTAACATTTTGTCTTAATTGTACTAACCAGATTCCTCAAATACACATGTTATTATATTAAAGGCTATCACCAGGAGACACTCACATTATCTTTTTAAATTTAATACAGGTCCTAGGAGCAAAAAAAGGTAAATTGTTTGCATTTCTTTTCTTACCCTAATACCAAGATAATAAGTTCTTTTTCTAGATTTATAATGCTATTCATTATTTATAGATTTTTTTTAAAGCTGGATATATGGGAGGAGAGTGTGCACCTGTGTATGTGTGCACATCCATAATGACATAATCCAGAAGGATCTTCAACTTTATAGTCTATTTAAGAGTCTTTTGGGGGGTCAGTAGAGGGAATAGAAGTTATGTCTTTGTACTCCCAGATGACAAACTATAGTTTGGGTGCATGTGCGTGTGGCCTTAAGATTCCGAGAGAGTAGAGAAGGGATTGCAGTATGACCATGACCCGGGGGGGAGGGGAGAGGGGGGAGATATCTCATTTTCTATCTCTCTGTCTCTCTCTGTCTCTCTTAAACAAGGTGATTTCAACTGAGGGTGGGCCCGTGGTTTCTTTAGCAACAGACTACTAACCACAAGGAGCCACATTCACTTAGAATTGTGAGTTATGTGGTCCATCCTTGACCTGAGGCTTTAACAATATACAGCATACCTCAGCAGAGCAACACTGGTTTGGGATTTCAGAGACCTGCCATCAACCCACTGTGTGGTTTCAGTCAGACTGCAATGCCTCTGTTGGCTGTAAGTCTGCTCTCCTCTATATGTGAGAGAAGTTAGACTTAAAGGAGGGTCTGTCCTGGGTTTGTGGATTTTCCAAGGGTCCTTGTAGAGAAATGGGGGTTTGTTGGCTATTTTAAATTATTTTAAAACCCAAAGGAAACCATGTCCTTTCCCACTATAAATCTCAACAATCTAACTTAGCGGTTCAAGTGTTATGCCGGGCTTCAATGATTCTAACACAATGTGACGTTCGGTTCAAGAGGGCAGATGCTCTGAGTGACCGGTGGTGATAGAAAATGATTTTATGAAGTGATTAATGGACGAAGCACTGACACCAGTAACATTTCATGTAATCACAGTGCCTCATTCAGAGGTGCTCAGTCCATGAACACTAAGACAACTTAGTGTCTATATGCTTTAATACGTATGACCTCAGTGGGAGAGTACTCAGTGCTTTCTGGGATTGCATATCATAGTATTACAGGTGCCCTTGGCGACTCTGGATGGCTGGTTAAAATTCGTCCATGATATCAAAAAATAATAGTAATAACGTTAATGGCACATGTAATTACTAAGTCATTCTAATTTGTATAGTTGGCAGAACTTTTAAAATTTGATGACCAAGGGGGAAAACAGAACATTTCTCCCTGGTTGGGAACGACTGGCCTGTATCAGAATCCTGGGAGCTCATCTGCCCTATCGCAGGAAGGATATGAGAATACCAGCAACACGGGCCAGTGCTGGGCCTCTCCATCCACACATCTTCCAGAACATTCTTCGGTTTAACTTTCTCCCAGTAAGATCTCATCTCAGCTGTCATCTCTCAGGAAAGCCTTCCTTGGTTACACACACAGTCACTCTACATCCCCAAGTCGTGCTTTATTTTCTTTATATTCCTTACAGTGTCTGAAATGATCTTAATGATCTACTTCATGCTTACTTTCCACTTCCTTTCATTAGACTATAAGAACCAGGCCTGTCCTCTTCTCCACTGTATCCCCAGATTCTAATTCTACCTGTCCCATACTAGGTACTCAGCTAATATTTGTCATATGATAAAAATGAATGAATGAATATAAGGCTAAAAATATTCTAAATTAATTCATCTAGAATCACCCCTAGAACTAGGGATTACTCAGGGATAAATAATAGTTAGTAATATTTAGGGAGAGTCTAGTGATGTGCTCCAGAAAGTAAACATGCCAGGATGCCAGGTCTTCAAAAAGTTTATGGAAAAACCATATTCGAAAAATCAGATAGCTTTCGATTTTTTTTCTACCAAAAGAAATTCATACTTTAATTCCACTTTCCACAAACTTTTGAAGTCCCTCATATTCAAAGCAATTTTCATAGCCTTAAGAAGAAGTTACTCCCAGAAGAGAGTTGTAGATATATGAGTTATAGTTTCTACTTACCACCAATAACCTCTTTCTAATAATCAAAAGTTACTTGGATAAATAATATTAAAATTTTTACAAAATTGTAATTCAAAAATTACTCGGGTAAAATTATAGTGGTCCAGTGAGCCTCTAACAATCCTCAGTCATTTTCATTTCACAATGTAACTAAAGGATATCACTCCTTTCTCAGTTCCTCATCACCAGATGAAGCCTGAATCATCTCAACTGTCACAAAACCAAAATACTCAAGAGATTCCACTTGCTGTTACCAGGTAAGGATCCAGGAATCCCTTGTCAGGTCCCAGGTTGGGGTTCAGGACATGTACAGATCAGATCATGGCCAACAGGACTTCCTGGGAGACAGAGAAAATGTTCGACCCCTATTTAAGTTAATGATGAGGTCCAAGGGAAAATGTGACACGCAGCTATTACTAAATCTAATAATGTTGGGGCCAGCGGATGGTATAGCGGTGAAGGCACTGGACTCCCACATGGTCGACTGGGACTCCAGTCCCGGACCAGGTGGCTTGAAACTAACTGCAGATGCACACGTGCCCAAAATGCCAAGAGGAGAATGGAGGAGAAGGGATTGCGGCATGGCCATCCCCCCTGGGGGTGATTTCTTGCTTTCTATCTCTCTGTCTCTCTCTGTCTTTCTGGCAAGCACATGCACCCTATAGTGAAAATCTCTCTCAAAAAAAATCTAATTATGTTGTTTCTTCAGTATATAAGTGATTGAGTACTAGAGAAGTTCAGAGAATTTTATGAATTAAACATTTACTGGATAGGATTAATTGGAGTGGATGCTAATAAACCTGGGAACTCAACTATTCTTAGTTGATGACTGCACCAAAGCTTGTACTTACTTTTGAATAGCACTTTATAGATGACCAAGTGTTGAAAATACCATTATGTGATTCAATATTTGCCTGATCAAATTACTATGACAACTTTCCACCCAAATGAACAGTTCAAGAAGCTAAGGCCCAGGGAGAAAATTCGTTCATCAAAGTCACAGTACATTAGCCGTGGTTTCCTTAAAACAAAACCCAGGGCCTCCAAAATTAGAGGGATTACGCTCTCATGATCCCATTCTGGCTAGTGGCTCCAACCTAAATTCAGGCCACACTCACTCTGCCCTCAGCCTGCCCTCAGCCTGCCCTCCACAGCCTGCTGCTCTAACGCCTTTCTACCAGCACAGCGCCAGGGACACGCACCACTCCTCCGCCTTTAGCAGTCCTCCCATATAGGCTCCTTTTCACCCTCTTCCTTTGAAAAACTCCTATTTAACCATCAGAGCCCAGCTTAAAACCACACTGCATCCACATTTCCAGACTTCCCAACGAGGCCTAGTTTCCACTACACACCAACAGCCCCTAATAATCAGAAATTACTTGGATAAAATTACATAGACCAATGGGCTTCTGACTCCTTTACCTTTGAAGTCAAGTTCAGCCTCAAAGTCCAAACACTTTTCAGTAACCCATGCTGCCCACGATTACTTGATTGTACAAACGCAGCCACCGAATCCTAAATCTTCCTGGTACCTACCTATGGCTACAATGTAGCCTTTTACTTATTCAATAAATATTTACTGGGGGTGGGGGGAATTAGCAGTTAGCGTAATGGCTATGTCACTGGACTCCCATGTAGCCGACCACGGTTCAAGTCCTGGACCCGGTGGCTTAAACTAACGCCGGGTGCGTGTGCATGTGTGCCCAAGATCCTGAGAGGAGCATAGAGGAGAAGGGATTGAGGCATAGCCATCCCCCCTGGGGGGTGATTTCTCTCTCTCTCTCTGTCTCTCTCTCTCTCTCTCTCTCTTTCTAGTGAGCATACCCACCTTATAGCAAAAACCTCTCCAAAATGAAAAAAGAAAAAGAAAAAAAATATTTGCTGGGACCCTACCGTGTTTGGGACAGAATAGAGCAGTGGTTAGGTGGGATCTACTGGATTCACAGGAAGTCTGATTCCTGACTTCATCACTAGTAAACCAAGTGACTCGGGCACTATCACTCCCTGCTATGGTTTGAATAGAGCCAGGCATGCAGCAAGAGCCCCGTAAACGCCAGACCTCACTCCTTGCTGGGCCCTGTGATCAGGCGCCGGACCACCATCCCTCAGTTCCGTCCCTCGTTTTCCCTCCCTTTCCTGCCTTGCCCTGTTTTGCACCTTCAGTAACTACTCTCACTCTTTGGCCCACAGGTCAAGACTAGGGCATCATAATTTTTATTCATCTATTTGCTATTTAAGACCCAATCCAATAAAAAAAAAAGTCTACATTCCACAAGATAATACCCTTCTTTAATATAATTATTTTAGTCCATTTTCTGTTGATATAACTGAACTCCACGGATTGGGTAATTTATAAAGAATAAATAAATCAGCTCATGGTTTCCAGAAGTCTAAGGCTGAGGGGCTACATCCGGTGAGGGCTTTCCTGCTAGTGGGGCTCTTTGTAGGGTTCCAAGGCGAGGCAGGGCATCACTTGGTGAGAAAGCAAGGGCACATGTCCCCTCGTGTCTCTCTTGTTCTTCCTAGAGAGCCACCAGCATTCACTCATGGGAGCTCCCCCTGATGGCCTTATCTAATCCTAATCATCTCCCCAAACCCCAGCTCCTCATGCTGTACTTGGATTCAGTTTCCACTTCCTTAACAATACTGGGACCAGCAGTTGGCGTAATGGCTATGTCACTGGACTCCCATGTAGTCGACAGCAGTTAGGGTCCCAGACCCGGTGGCTTAAACTTATGCCGGACACGTGTGCATGTGTGCCCAAGATCCCGAGAGGAGAATGGAGGAGAAGGGATTGCGGTATGGCCATCCCCCCTGGGGGGTGATTTCTCGCTTTCTGTCTCTCTGTCTCTCTCTGTCTTTGTGGCGAGTGCATGTACTCTATAGCAAAAACCTCTCAAAAGAAAAATACTAAAAAAAAATTTAAATAAATAAAAAATAATACCTCATGATGGAGATCCAATTTCAACACACAGCTTTGGTATGGGCAGTCAAACCATAGCAGTAATTTACTAAAAGGGAAAAAAAATCCATTGTAATATTCTATTATTACAATAAAAATGTGAAAGATAGAAGGTTTTCAGTCAAACTCACCTATAGTCGTTGTTCGGTGTGGTTTTTGGCTTCTTTCGCTTGTTTATTATTGGCTTACTTCATGTATCAAAAAATCTTCTGATCTTTCTTGCTCTTAACTGGCTGCTGCTTCTTCATCTATGTGGTTTAAGTGACCTTTACTACCACAACTTACGCCGTGCACACGTTCTCCATGGCATTTATCCTATCGTGCATTATGAGCATGGTACAACTATGTCTTCCCTCCATAACTAAGCTCCACTAGGACAGAGTGCATGTCTCATTCATTTATCTATTTCCAGAACATTCCATGCACCTATTTAGCATTCAGCATGTGTGTGTAAAATGAATCATCATTTTTATTTTAACTTGTTTTTATGTTTTTTTTTTTTCTGTCCTTATAAACTATGTCCTTGAGACCTGGAATAGTTTGAGAGGATGTTCTTATCCTTTCAGTGTTTTCTAAAAATGCTGAAAAATGAGAGTAGAGAAGTATCTCTATTCATTACTTTTTCCCAGATAACTAGCAAAATTACACACCGGTTCCTGGTAAAGGGATCCTGATTTTAATGGTCAAAAGCTTTGATGTCAGCAGACACCGCACCAATGATGACAGCACACAGGGTTGTTGGGTGAACTCTCAGCACTTTCTTCTAGAAAGAAAGCCATGAGACCCCAGGCTTTCAGCGAGGTCACAAAAGCAGGTATACACTCAGCCAGTTTCCTCAGGTTTCATTTAATTGACCCAGAGGCTTTGGCCGATAGCACAACGCCTGGTGTAGAGCATGTCCCGTGTAATTAGGGCTGGCATAGTCGCACCTGGAGCTGATGGTGCTCGTGCTGACTGCAACACAGCATGAACCAGAAAGTAGAGCCGAGTGCTATAAAGTCATGGGGGAAGAGACCTGGCAGTATCACGTTTGTGTCCAGCAATGCCTGTTATTTTGATTGTCCTCCGTTATATTTTAGAATTCTTTTTTCTCTATGCATTTTTTTATAACACCATACATAGCTTTCTCACCCAGCCCGCATTTCAAGGAGGAAGAAAATTTCTATTAGACTCTTCTTCCTTGCTATAATCAACTCTGCTCCCACTAGTGAACCGTGTCTGTAGAATATGAGCTCCAACAAGCCAGATATTATTTTCTACAGTGACTGTCGCTATGAGGCAGTACAAAACCATGTCGAACGAAAGTAAAAGTCCTAATATGCATTCCCTGGAATGACATAGAAAGAACTCATAAAAGTTACTTTGTTCCATATTGAATGCTTGTCAGTCTTGAAAAGGAGGGTAAAAACCAGCTTCCTGTTGCTTTGCAAAATGGACAATTCTGGGGACCAGCAGTTAGCGTAATGGCTAAGTCGCTGGACTCCCACGTAGTCAACCGTGGTTCGTGTCCTGGACCCGGTGGCTTGAAACTCACACCAGGCACATGTGCGTGCGTGCCCAAGATCCCAAGAGGAGAATGATGGAGAAGGGATTGCAGCATGGCCATCCCCTCTGGGGGGTGATTTCTCGCTTTCTGTCTCTCTATCTCTCTCTGTCTGTCTGGTAAGCGCACGCGCCCTATAGCAAAAACCTTTCCAAAATTAACAATTTTTACTACATTCAGTAAACTATGAAGTGTTTTATAAATGTGATTTTAGGCATTGTGACCTTGCTTCTGAATGGAATTTTACCCACCCAGAAACATACTAAGAGTCTTTCGATTCTACTATTTCCTTTAGCTCTTCGTTCATGATGATCAATCACAGTGTGCAAAACAAAGGTAAGAACACTTTAAGAATTATAAAATAAGGGGCCAGGTGGTGGCACAGAGGTGACAAAATTGCAAATATATGGGAAAGGTTCTGAGTTAGCGTCCTGATTACAACACGAAGAGCCTGTTGGGAAATCTCTCTTAGAAGGAAAAAAAAAATAAATGTTTAAAAAATAATAATTAGGGAACCAGCAGTTAGCGTAATGGCTATGTCGCTGGACTCCCACGTAGTCCACCGCGGTTCACGTCCCGGACCCGGTGGCTTAAAACTCACGCCGGGCGTGTGTGCGTGCATGTCCAAGATCCCGAGAGGAGAATGGAGGAGAAGGGATTGCAGCGTGACCATCCCCTCTGGGGGGTGATTTCTCGCTTTCTGTCTCTATGTCTCTCTCTGTCTGGCAAGCGCACGCACCCTATAGCGAAAAACCTCTCCAAAAAAAAAGAAAATTAAAATTAAAAAAAATTTAAAAAAATAATAATAAAATAAACAGGCAAGTCAATATAGAATATTCCTGCAATAAGACTTAACTGTGAATCTCACAGCTGATGTGTATAGATGTAATTAGCTAATTTCATTGGTAGATAGTATGCCATTATGTTAATATGACACAATTATAATCTGTCATAAAATATAATTACTTAAGTGGTTTTCAGGGTTTTTTTTCCTCTTATAAACACTATTATGCTATGGACATTATTATAGCTATCTTCCCATGTATATAATTATTGCTGTGTCTGTTCCATTGTCCTAGACATATTTTTAATAGACATATTAATTAGTCTCACCAATAAATTATGAATCCTCCTGTTCCCCATCCTCTGCAACAGTTGTTTTTGACAAAATGCTAGGTTTTGCCAGTCCACTGAAGGACAAATTGATTTTTTCTCAAGAAAAATCTGTGAAGTAGAAAAAACAACACTGACTCCTCTTAAAAACTGATTGTGGGAACCAGCAGTTAGTGTAATGGCTATGTCGCTGGACTCCCACGTAGTCGACCGCGGTTCGTGTTCCGGACCCGGTGGCTTAAAACTCACGCCGGGCGCGTGTGCGTGTGTGCCCAAGATCCCGAGAGGAGAATGGAGGAGAAGGGATTGTGGCGTGACCATCCCCCCTGGGGGGTGATTTCTCGCTTTCTGTCTCTATGTCTCTCTCTGTCTGTCTGGCGAGCGCACGCACCCTACAGTGAAAATCTCTCCAAAAAAAAAAAAAAAAAAACTGATTGTAAAGATAAAAGTCAAAAGAATACTATGTCTCTGGGCATGTCCAAAACATATGTAATGTCATGTTACTCTCGATGGTGGGGTTTGATACTTTTAATATTATTTTGCCAAGTGAGCTCCATCATATTCACTTGACTTTCTGTCATGGAGAGCTGTATTTGGGTCTAGCCCTGCAATCTCTCTTTGTCAAGGCAAAAATGGTTTAGAGTGAAAGGAGGCCCAGTCCGTGGGTGATAGCAGTATACCCAATGTTCTTCCACTTACCTTCTGCCAATCTGCATTTTTGTGATCCTCCACTCTCCAAATAGGAGAGTCGTATTTCATAGGATTACAAACCCCAAATGCAATGTTTAATGTAAGAAAAACTTTCCAAATATTGGCTACTTCCATTATATTAGAACAAATTCAATTAAACACTTCCAGTGGGTTACGCACTCAGAATTTCATTTATTCATTCATTCAACAAAGCTCTAGCCAGGTCTTCAGGGGGGAAATCGCATGGCAAAGTTATTTTTGTTTGTTTTATTTAACTCATTCTCTGAACTACATAAGCATAAGCCATTTTCAAGTGATCTTTTTCAGCTAGAACTTTTTAAATATTCAAGCAAGGCACTCAGAGTTGAAAAATAATAAATCAGTTGCCACAATGTCATGAAAAATTCATAATCCCTGAACACTATTATGTAGGCGATACAAAATAAGTGACAAGAAATGCTGGTAATGGTTATTTCTCTGTTCAAATATGTTCTTATCATTTTGATCCACATTGAAAAAATAGTTAGTCATTTCAATAAGCCTTTATATACTGCTTCATTATCATTTAAAAGAAAGTTTCTTGGGGCCAGCAGGTAGTGTGGTGGTTAAGGTGCTCTCACATGGTCAACTGTGGTTCAAGTTCCAAAGAAGGGACTGTGGTGTGACTATCCCCCCAAGGGGGTGATTTCTCACTTTCCCTCTCTCGGTCTCTGTCTCTCTTTTTGGTAAGTATATACATTGTATGGCAGAAAACTGAAATGGATAGATAGCTAGCTAGGCAGACAGACAGAACGTTTTGCAGTCACTTTTATTTTACATCAGTATAGCTCTGTCACCTGTCTCTTGGTTGGGATTTTCCTGGTTTACATTTCTTCACCCTTTTATTTATAATCTCTCTGCATCTTTATATTTTAGATGTGCGATTAATACACAAATGGGATTTTTAAACCAGCCCATATCTAATTTTTGAAGTTTAATCATTAAGCACCCCCAACGAGGTCTTGACACCAAATCCACCCCCAGCCGTTGGCTGGGCCCAGATCATGGGTACCTGCATACACAGCATAATGTGGGGTCTCCCAAGAAACTGGGAACCCTCCCATGTGGTATTGCCTTACAGAGCATCACATTTTACTGTTGAGTCACTGAACGGCCCTTGCATCTAATTTTTAAATATTGAGTTTGTGCCTTTGCTAATTTATTGTGACTACAAATATGTGTGCATCTACTTCACTATTATTTTGAACCTATTTGTTGAGCTTTTTATTGAATTTTTGTATCATTTCTTATAATATAGTTGATTAATCTCTTCTTATTCCTTTTGCTTTTTTTTCTTAAAAGTTATACTTTTCAATATTATCCTTCTGTTGGTTACTATTAACATCTTAAATAAAAAAAAGGTCTATGCTTGAATTTTAAAAGTCTGAAGTTCCTCTTTCCAAATGAATGCTTTAATTCTGATGGTATGGGTTCTGTGTTTTAAAGTTAAAACTTGTTTTATTTATAAAATTTTAGAAGGAGAAAGAACATTTTAGTTTTATTCATATTTTTAAATCATAAAGTGAGTCAAGTAAAATGTGATTTAAACTCAAAGTGGTCAGTTTTCTCCAACAAGCATTTTGATATACATAAATCCTTAAAACAAACATTCTTAGGCTCAAAAGTATAAGCACAATCTTTGATACCATTAAGAGAGAACCTTCAACACATCAGAAGTATAAAACTCTAAAGTTTAGGCTTCTTGATGACAAGAAACAGAATAAATGCAAATAAAATTTAAGTGGTATGGTAACTGTCATAAAAATATTTACAAGGTTTTGTTCAGTATTTCATTTCGAAAAATTACACGGTCAAAAGTAGCCCATTCTTTAAAAGTTCTTATTATACTTATCAAGAGAATAACTTTTTTTTTTGACTGAATTAAAACTATAAAACTTGGGACCAGTAGGTGGACTAGTGGTTAAGGCGCTGAACTGCCATGTAGTTGACCACAGTTTGAGTCACGGACCCACTGGCTTGAAACTGACGTTCGGTACATGTGTATACATGCCCAAAATCCCTAGAGGAGAAGGGATTGTAGCATTACCCTTCTGGGGGGCTGATTTTTCATTTTCTCTTTCTCTGTCTCTCCGGTGAGCCCATGTACCCTATAGCAAATATCTTTCAAAAAAAAAAAGAAAGAAAGAAACCTAAAAAGCCTGTAATTCTTTCTTTACACTAATTAACTCCTTCATTTTTATGCTATTTTTGTCCAGTATTTTAGTTACATATCATTTTTATGTCCCCAAGTTTTTATGATTTTTAAATGGTTAATCCCTGCCTAAAACTGCCAACATATTAACAAATGTCTTTGCTCGGTATACCTCCTTACACCTCACTCTATCCTTGTGGTCTCAGTTGTTTTTTTTTTTTTTTTTTTTTTTTCTGCTATAGGGCGCATGCGCTCGCCAGACAGACAGACAGAGACATAGAGACAGAAAGCGAGAAATCACCCCCCAGGGGGGATGGTCACGCTGCAATCCCTTCTCCTCCATTCTCCTCTCAGGATCTTGGGCATGCACGCACACGCGCCAGGCGTGAGTTTTAAGCCACCGGGTCCGGGACGCGAACCGCGGTGGACTACGTGGGAGTCCAGCGACATAGCCATTACACTAACTGCAGATCCCTTGTGGTCTCAATTTCATGAAATTCATCTTTTCTTAATGTTTACTAGAAAAATCTGCAGTGGAAATGTATTATTTTGGTTAAATTATTCACAGAAAATGCCATATCAAAATTTTTCAGAAGACAGTATTGAAAGCTTAGGTGCCAGGTGAAATCAAAATCCTATCAATAAACTTCATTTATTGTTACTTTCAAATCCATTGGTTTATCTTATACCTGAATTAATTTTTTATCCAGGCATGATTTTGTAGCACCATGCCTTTAGTCGCTTGGAAAATTATGGTTCACAGACATAAACTGACCTCTAACATTAATATTTTATTATATGAAATTTTTAAAATCACATTTGCAAGCAACACTACCAGTCTCATCAGAAAAGTTTAACTATTGGAATGCCATTATGTCACTGTGATAGATGCAAGATGTCTGAAATTCCAATTTTCACCTGCAAAGTCTAATTCATAATTAGCATCAAATACTGCACTTTGCTTTCCATGAAGTGACAGGCTCACTTTTTTCAATTTAATAAAATATCTGCCGGACGTCTGAGCCTGGTCCATCGCATTCCAAACTGAAGTGCTGGAAGACACTTCTGACAAGGGGTTCAAATCCCCAGCCTGGTTGACCTGAAACACGTGTGTGCCCATGATCCTGACAAGAGAGAGTTGAGGGAAGGATGTTGAGGTGTGACCAGGCCCTATTGAGGGTGCCTTTCTCTCTCGCTGCCTCTCACTCTGGTGCATACACATGTGCCTGCTACCATGAATAAAAAAATTAAAATTAGAAAAATATCTGCTAAATATTTACCATAGCTTGTCTGTCAGTCATTCATTCAGGTTAAAAAAAAAAAAAAATGTCATGTTGCATTGGCACTGGGCTCCCATATAGCCAACTGCAGTTTGAGCCCCAGACCTGGCAGCTTGAAAATCACACTGTGGCACATATACTAAATGGAATACTATTCATCCATAAAAAACAACAAAACCCTGGCTTTTGAAAGGAAGTGGATGAATATGAAAGACTTACTGCTGAGTGAAGCAAGCCATGCTATGAAGGAGAGGCATTGTATGTCCCCACTTAATATATACTGAGTGTCTGCACTCTAAAAAATATATATATATTTGAAACCATACTGCTTCTGTTGTTATAGAATCATAAAATTATACAAAATTATAAGAAATATTTTAAACATTTTCTTTAAAAGTCAGTATTTTGAAATTTTGAAAGTTGTTTGTAAACTGTCAAGAACTATGGAGTATGAGCTAAAATTTTTTGCTATGTAAAGTAAATGTTTGTGGAAAAATGTAAAAATAAAGAAATAAAAGAAAAAAAAGAGGACAGGAAAAGGTGAAATAAAAGTAGGTCTTTATTAATTAAAAAAAAAAGAAAGAAAGAAAGGAAAGAAGGAAAGAAGGAAAGAAGGAAAGAAAGAAAGAAAGAAAGAAAGAAAGAAAGAAAGAAAGAAAGAAAGAAAGGAAGGAAGGAAGGAAGGGGGGAAGGAAGGAAGAAAGAAAGAAAGAAAGAAAGAAAATCACACTGGGCATGTGTGCGTGCATGCCCAAACTCCCAAACTCCAGAGAGGAAAATGGAGGAAAAGGGATTGGAATATGGTCATTCCCATTGAAGAATCACTTCTCACGTTCCCACTCAGCATCTTTCTGTCTCTCCAGCAAGGGCACATACCCTATGGCAAAACCCTTTAAAAAAAGTTATTATTCCAAGTAAAAAATAAAAAATAATATTTTTATACCATACTATACTGAGCTTAGCATACTTAAGAAACAAAATAGAGTTTGTTATGACCAGAAAAGAGTGGATGATGAGGAATTAATGAGGATAAGCATGGAGAAATAAGAAGAGACAAGCCCTTTGGAGCCTTCACGGACAGAAGAAAAATATTCAGACTTTCATCCAGATGTAAAAAAAATCATGGAAGGATTTTTACCAGGGACATTTTTACCAGAGTTGAAATTACATATTTAAAATATTACTCCAGCTGTCCTTTGGAAAGGGCAAAAACTGAAGCAAGTAAACAATACAGACCAGATTATGGCCACTGAGTGACATGATGTGTAGACTGAGGAGACAGCCCCAAAGACAGGAGTGATGGGACCAGCTCTGTGTTGGATGGAGACAGTAACAAAACATGTTTACATGTTAATTTACTCTTCCCAGATCATAAAGGAAGCTTGCAGTCCTATTCTCAGAGATGCCAGTCTCCCGCCAGCCATGGCCCTCACAAAGATATGCCACCATATAAAAACACAAGCTGGAGAAAACCTTTCCCCTCAAAGCCTAATGAAAAGGTAAGGTAGATACTTCTCTGCCATGTCTTTCTAGATGTACTTCGCAGCTAAATAGAGCACAAAACAACACCCAGAAGATGGTCATGATGTCCGGCTTTAATTTTTATCCTTCTGGCTACATGTTGCTGAGTTTTACTATTTTTAACCTATTTTGTTGTATAGCATACTGCATTGCTCTTTCTCCAGATTCCTTGTGTATTTCCAGATTCTAAAAGTGAGATTTTTTTAAAAAATATTTATCAAGCAAAACATGAATGTTTGGACCTGTGTTCTACAGTTACTGGCCATTCAGTAATCTCAGGGGTATGAACTAGGATTTACATATTGTGCTTCTTTTTCAAACAAAAGATCCACATATCACATTTCAGTTGAACAGTCCAATGGCCATTTATCAATCACTGATTAGGTTGCAGACAACATGCTAGAGGTTACGGTCCCTGCTCCACAGGAGACTTGCAGAGACTATGCAAATGGATGAAGCTGTGTTCTTGTTAGTCTTTGTCTGCTTTCTGATCTCTTTCTAAAATATTCTTCGCTCCTACAATCAGTTCTTTTTGAACCATGTTGCACTTACCTTTACCAATGTGTAGTGATAAAACTTCCATTGTGACTGTATGCGTCTCCCTCCGTCACCTGAGACAGTACTTCTCAAAGTGTTTCATTATAAAGCACTAAAGGGTATGGTTCTTCTGGGTCTCCATCCTGAATCTTTCCATTACTCGGTGTCCTGTCACAGAGCTTGTGAAGGCTTTTAAGTGGGAACAGAGTATAAGATATAGTCAATTCTTCATAATTCCTACATTATCCTAACAGTAGTTACATTTACTTTTCTGCCTAATTCTAAAAGGACCCATACTCTTAAATAAGACTCTGGGAAACCTATGTACATCTTGTTATTGAACCTTTTCATGTACCTTGTTTTCCCTCTGCCATCTTTTTCATAAGCACTGGGATGCCTGGGTTCTAAATAAATGTCTACCCAAGATCAGATCCCCTCCTGGGATTCCTAGCAGGCATGAGAGAGGCTTAGACTAGATCATGATTCCTCTGATTCATAACTTATGCATGTATTACCAATACTATTGCTTACTTAATAATATTCTTTAAGTTAATGTTGTTTTCTGTTTGCATCATTACTCTAAAAAAACAGTATTATATACCACTGCACCTGAAAGTAACCTTAAAAAAAATAGCTGCATTGCAATTTTGCAATGAGAGAATGTCCAAGAGAACTGAAAGCAGAGACTCAAACAGGTATCTGCACACTCGTGTTCGTAACACTACTTAGAATATACCCAAAACGTGAAGAGGCCCAAATGCCTATTGACAGATGAGTGGGTAAACAAAATGTTACATAAATCGATAGACAAAATGTTATACACACACACACGCGCGTGCACACACACGCAGGAACGTTATTTAGCTCTAAAAATGAATGAAATTCTGATACATGAATGAACCTTGAAAACATTATGCTAACTGATATGTCAAAAACTGAAGGATGCATATATCTGATTCCATGTGCACGGGGTACCTAGAATAGGCAAATTCATAAATACAGAAAGTAGAGTGGAAGTTACGAGGGGCTGAAGAAGAAGATGGAGATGATGTAGAGTTATTGTTGAAGGAGGACATAATTTCAGATTGGAATGAAAACATTTGAAGCTAGATGGTGGCCAGGTTTGTAAAGCCGTGTGAACATCCTCAATGCCACTGAATTATGTACTTTAAAATGGTTGAAATAGTGATCATATGTATGTTTTACCACAATTTTTTTAAAGCCATTGCCGCACACACAGTACAAGGCTGTAAACTGTAGTAGCATTCCCACAGCTGCTGACGGCTCTGAGCACAAAAATTACTCTTCTGTTAAAGGGGAAATTAGAAATGTCAGCTAAATTAATGACATACTAGCACTAAAAGGAAGCATCCCTTTTGAATTATTTGGTGTGCTAGAAAGAGAAGAGACAGGGGCAGATTTCTCCCTCACCCCAAATGATTCAGTTACTTAGTGCTGTTTTTGAACACCAATCTCACCGGCCATCCTGCTTGGCCATACCTGGAAAAACACAAGACTGTAAGATCCCTGAGCATCTTCCAACTTGGGCAAATAAAACCAGAGTAGATGAAATGCACCGAGACTGTTCTCTGCCAAGCCCTCAACGGGCTTAGAGACCCTTGATGGGCTTACCGGCCCTCCTAAAGGCAACAGATGACACCAAGCTCAGCACCTCACCCTTCAGCCTGGAGGCAGGGCCTCTAGCTTCAGCCTGGAGGCGGGGTCTCGAGGCTTCCTTTGCTTCTGGAACCTGACACATGGCTCCACTCTAGCCAGGCTGGCTGTGCCTTTCCCGGGGGCTAAGGACTAGGTGGAGGAATTCACTCCCAATGAGGCCTCTATTAAGAGACTTTCGATGTCAGTCTTGACAGAATGGCCAAGCTGTGTAGGCAGGCAGAGTAAGGACCAAGAGCAGTTCCAGGCAGCAGGGCTAGCCTTTGACACGACAGGATGCCGTGGGTGTCCAGAGAACAGCAAGATCACCTGGCCGGCCAGACTCCTGCTCTGAGACACTAGCAGGAAGCCAGCATGCAGTCAGCTGGCGCTCACTCATGCCTCTCCAGGTGATAGCCACGTGCGCTTTGCATGCCTCTCAGGGAAATCGGGGCGACGCGGTGCGGGATGGTCAGAGATTCCAACTGAGACCAAAGGCCTGAAGTCGCATCCCTCCTTCTTGCCAGTCATAGGACTGATTTCGACGTCCTGAGCCTCCACTGTCCATCAATAACCCGGGCTCACACTGCCTGATATGTCCTCTACACCGTACCGTAGGGCTGGACTGGGCACTGAGAGGCTGGACTCGCGGGGGTAACTACTTAATGTTAAGATCCTTGGAACCGTGAAGGAATTAAGGGTTCACGGTACAACTCTCCGACCTTACTTCTCCCTGTTACAGTGGATTTTATAATAAAAATAAGTAAATAAAATAAAATTGGACCCAGTCAAATTTCAACACCACAGGCAGAAGGGCTCTGTGGCTAGATACTGACGCCATGTGGGAGGCCCAGATTCAGACCCCGAGCTGGCCCGAACAAGCAGAATCCCCATGAACCTGCCGCGCGCGAGACCAAGGGCAATGCTGAGAGGGCATTGCAGCATAATGAGACCCTACAGAGAGTCTCTCTCTCTCTCTCTCATATATATATATATATCTTTCTGTCTCTCAGTAAATAAATCTTTTTTTAAAAAAAAAGAGAATTTAAAGTCACTTAACATCAGTATAAATAAGGCAGCACAGCACAGGGAGAAAGCCACAGCACAGAGGAGGTTCATTTCAGTTCTGCCACACCGTGACTCTAGGCAAGCGGCATAAAGACAGTCTCCATCTGCACCTGTTCTCCCTCCCTGCTGTTTTCATAGGGACCAGGGCAAGCCCAGACTTCACAGTCTGCCTCCCACCTCCGTAAGCTTCATGGAGAGCAGTCAGGAAGCTGACAGAGGGAGAGTTCATCATCCTTCTGAAAGGGGGGCCCAAGGGCTTTCCTCAGTGGAGGAGGTGCAGTTCCTCAGTGCTGCCAGTGACAGTCTCTCTGGTTCCCATCTACTTCAGAATTCCCCAGCTACTGTTGTTACTTTTCCTGTGTCTATCTTCTCCAAGTATCTGTGGGCTTCCCCAGGTTCAGGGACTACACTTTAGGTATTGAATAGCTACTGAAAATTAAACTGTGAATGAGTCCTGGTGGAACAAAAATTAATTTTCAACTCATTAATAATTAGTATTTAATTCATTACTAATTAGTACTTCCCTTTGGCCCTAAAATACCCATCATGGAACCGTGCTGCAGGATGTCCAGCACAATGAATGGTACATTGGAGAATACGGTCGCCAGGCAGTGGAAGAGGCGCTAACGAAGGAGGACAAGGTAATGCTTTCTACAGGCTCATCGTTGTTTCTGGACTCCCCGTAAGTTTTCTGCTCGCACGTCACAGAATGTCACAAGCAGCATGCGCTAATGTAGTGGTCGCTGCATCACCTTGGGCTTCTGGGTGCTGGGGAGGTGGTAATCGAAGAGATTCAAACATGGATAGGTTCAGACGTGAGGTTTGGTTGTACCACTAACCAACTCGGTGACTTTCTCACGTTCTTTAATAACTTTATGCATAGGTTTCATTTGTAAAACAAAATTGGTAACGTTAATCCTAAGGAACTACTCTGAAAATCAATGTGGAAGCATGGGTGCAGAGAGCACAGTGGAAAGTGCTTCTTCCTTTCCCTTCTTCAAGTTTCATTTCCTTACTAAAGATCTGGCCCTATTCTGTTGGGTCGTTCAAGGCAGACTTGAGTAGGTAGACTAAAGTTACTGGAAGCCCCAACTCAAACTTGGCTCTTCACCACCATACTCTAACTCTAAATGCGTCTCACAGAAGACACATACTTCAGGTTTGTGGACCAAAGTAAGTCACATGACCAAACATTATCTACAAACATCATCCCAAGCACCAGATAATTATGAAGCAACTGCTAGGTGTGAAAAACTGTACTAGGTGGTTTGGAAGTCACAGAATGTCTAGCAAGACTAATCCAACATTAAAATCTATCTTCAGCTAACTAGTAAAGTAGTCACTGTTGAGTGAAGAAACATAAAAATAAATTGACTAATTCTACATGGGCAAATAAACAGGTCTCTAATAAATTATATTAAAACTTAGCTGTCCAAATTGGCATTGTAAAACAAAATAAAATTATATGAACTTGCTGTAATATGCTGTGTCATGCCCTCTGCAAAAATAGTTTAATCCTAATACCCAGATATGTCACCTTACATGGCAAAAAGGACTTTGAATAAGTTAAGGATCTTGAGATGGAGAGATTATGCTGGATTATCTGGGTGGGCTCAAGGTAATCACAGGGGCGCTCCTAACAAGGAGACAGGAGTTTCAGAATCAGTGTGGGGATGTGATCACAGGGAAAGGGATTAGACTGGTTACCTACGGGCCATGAACCAGGAATTCCAGTGACACTGGAAAATCATTGAAATAGACCCTCCCCTGTTGATTTTAACCCAGTGAGGTCCATGTTGGATTTAGAAGTTCTAGAACTTTAAGAAAATAAGTTTGTGTTTTCAGCTACTAAATTCATGGTGATTTGTTACAACAGCAATTGGAAACCACACAGTTGCTAACAAAGTGTCTGATACATTTTAGGAATAAATAGAACCATTCCATTTCCTAGATGAGGAAACCCAGGGTAAACTAGTCTTAGTCACAGAGTGGAGAGAGTGTTTTGCTACTTTCTCCACTGTTTTCACAAAGTCACAGCTGCCTATAGTAAGCACTACAGTTTTGGGGTTTTTTTGTTTGTTTGTTTTTGTTTTTGTTTTTGTTTTTGTTTTTGTTTTTTGAGAGGTTTTTGCTATAGGGCGCGCGCGCTCACCAGAAAGACAGAGAGAGACAGAGAGATAGAAAGCGAGAAATCACCCCCAGGGGGTAGGGCCACGCCGCAATCCCTTCTCCTCCATTCTCCTCTTGGGATCCTGGGCATGCACACACACGTGCCCAGTGTGAGTTTAAGCCACTGGATCCGGGAAGCGAACCGTGGTTGACTACATGGGAGTCCAGCGACATAGCCATTACGCTAACTGCTGGCCCCTACCACTACAGTTCTTTACACCCTGATGGAAAGCCATGGGGGTTGACCGATGTCTTGCCTTGAGGACCTCCCTTCCTCTCCCCATAACTGGCCTCTGCTCTGGTAGAGTGGCAAGCCCATCAGAAGTAGCCTCCAACCTTGGCTCCCCTTCTCAGCTCATCAGTGCTGAATAAGCCATTGTGCCGGTGGAGACTTGCTTCCTGAAGCCCATGTGAAGTTGGTGCTAGAAGAGCCACATGCATGTCACTTGATGTTCTTCCAGCGACATCGGGCACTCAGTCCACACTTCCTTTCTTCCTCTTCTGCTTGCCTGTGTCTACTTCTTCCCAGATACATTGAAAAAATAAGATAATTGAGACTTTGTAATTCCACTTTATATTTTCCTACTTTGTGTTAGTTTTGTCAAAATGCATTTCTCATTTATGAAAGATCATTTAAATTTCAGGATTGCCCAGGTTCATTTCGACAAATTTGTTTCAAACTTTAAGATGATAAACCCAAAACATAGCCATGAGTCTTGGCCTCTTCTCCCTTTCTGAGTTTTGTCAGTGTTCTGTATGTGAGTACTAAGTCTTCAGTTCTAACTAACTGTTTGAGGCAGAATAAGTTCTAGAAAATTCCTTAATTCTACTTAATATGCCCAGAGGTATAGTTAAAGCCTAACTGAAATTGACTTTTAGATATTCCATTTACTAATTATGGTGATTTAGGAAACTAATTTAAGATCTTAGACCCTGATTTCCTTACTGTAAAAAGAGAATAAAACACTTCCTGCAAAGCTGATATAAAGATCAAATGAGATCATGTGTATAAAGTGTTTGGCATTTTGAGGACAATTTTTTTTAAATAACTATTTCGTTAATTTTATTTATTTATTTTAATTTGATTAGAGAGGAACAGAGTGAGAGAGAGGGAAAGTGAGAAAGCAAGCTGCCAAGTCCAAGACTCAAACCGCAGTTGACCATGTGGGAGTCCAGCACCCTTAACCACCACGCCCCTGCTGGCCCCTTGAGGGAAATTCTTTTTCTTTTTTTCAAAGAATTATTTACTTAATTTTTTATTTATTCATTCATTTATTTTAACTTGACCAGAGAAAGACACACTCAGAGAGAAAGAGAGAGAGAGAGAAAGTGAGAAAGCAAGGCACCAGGTCCATGACTCGAACTGTGGCCGGCCATGTGAGGGTGTTCAGCACCTTAACCACCACACCACCCACTGATTGAGGGTAATTCTTAATATGCTTCAACTGCCAACGTCGTATCATCTCTATAATGTTATAGTATTACGGTACTTGTAACATTATAAATTTAATTACCATCATTTTATATACCTATATATGGCATCTATAAATATTAATTGTAGAGAATATATAATTATATATAGATATTACATATAGCACATGCCAATGTATAGATGTAGACAGTGTATATAATTGAGAGATAATCATACATTTAATTATTTTGTAATTACATCACTATATATAATCTATTTTTTATGATTTCTTATTCACATTTAATTGTTGTACCTCTCCATAGCACTCAGTATGGTTTTCCAAAGTATGTACGTAGTACTTGACAATCAAATCAAGGATATTGCCTCGGGGAAGAAATGTGTCATCTTTATAGATCATTGATAATCATCTATACGAAATCCAAACAATTAGAGTTACTGACTTTTCAGTATTTTTCATGATGTAAATGACACAATGTAACCATGGAACTAAGCCTTTAGATATGTTCATGCTTGGGAAAATCACTCCACTTCTCAGCCTGTCACAACCAGGCCTCTATTCCGAGCTGTTCCTTGAAGCATGCCTCATTATTTCTCACCCATAACCTATTTCCAGTCCTTGGACCGTTTGACACTGTTGGTCTTTTAGAAATCCTTGCTCTTCACCCCTCAGCTTCTGTAACTCTGGAGCCTTTATCTCTTTATCTCTCAGACGTCTTTGATTCTTCCTGTCTCCCCTTCCTTGCCCTGCACTTGCCTTCACTTCCCCCTAGGCTGTACTTCCTCCTCTTTCATAGAGACTCGCTATTCATTTTTGTATGAATAACTTCAAAGCCCCACATGTCTCTTGGAGACCCCAGCCCTGCATTGACACTTGCCCACACACAGACCCAAGTCGTAGATTACAAGTTTCTCTTGCTCTAAGACCGAAGTGGTTCCAGCATCTCTAGAATAAGAGCTGAGCATCAGGTAGAGCGTGAATTATGTGAACATAGAGGGATCGAGGGAGGAACAGGACGGGGATTCTCCATACAGGAGTAGCCAGAACAAAAGCTTGGAGCCCAAAGCAGGTGGTGTCATTGGGAAGTGGAGACCTGGCTGGAGCCAGGAGGTAGGGGCGAGAGGAAGAAGGCAGGAGCAACAAGACAAACCACAGGACACGTTTTCCTCTTTGTCCACAAACGTCATGCTGAGGTCGTACACATCTGGCTCAGGTCAGGAGAGCAGAGTGGAGATGTTTACTCGCTTCCATAGGTATATCCAACCCACATGCTTCTCGGGAAAAAATAAGAACCCTTTATACATACTGACCCTCAATAAAAACTGAATTAAATTAAATTAACCACTGGTTTTCCCAAAACTCAACCGATTTGGAGATGTCGTGAAACCATCATTATTGCCACCATTACAAGGACAAGATGCCGGCATGTCTAAGACAACAACCATTATTCCTCTCATTTCAGGATGGTACTTTCTTGGTCCGAGATTGTTCCAAAAAATCCAAGGCAGAACCCTATGTTTTGGTGGTATTTTATGGGAAGAAAGTGTACAATGTGAAAATCCGCTTCCTGGAGAGGTATCAGCAGTTTGCCCTGGGGACAGGACTCAGAGGAGATGAGGTGGGTATAATTTAACCACTTTTCTTTCCCAGGCTGAAAGCAACAAATAAAGGGAGAGTCTGGGAGCTACCAAACTAGTCCTGCTCTATGTCCAAATGTCTGCAAGATAGGTGGGAAGAGAACCCCCTGGAGATGGGGGAATGTAATCTGCCCCTCCCAGCCCCATCTACAAACATCCCCTCATAGTCTTACACTCCAGCCAGTAGGTCAGAGGCCAATCCTGACCATGCCATGCACCCCCACCCCACTTTCCATATTAAAGAAAACTCATTCTACAACACACCTAAATCCTGCCTTCTAGGAAGTCTCTGCAGAAGCTACGCACATTCCTTCTTCCCAGTACTGAGTTCCTACTGCAGGCAGTTCTGGTAGTTATCCATAGATTTGTGGCCCAAAAGTGAATGTGAGCTTAGTCACAGTATCGAGCGCCATGTCTAGACTCCCCATCCTCACGAAAGGACCTTTATCTGCCGTGGGTGACCAGGGGAAAGAATAAATCAATTACAGCCCTCATCAATAACCACATAAAGAAGTGAACAAGACAGGAGAAATTGACGCTGAATGTGTATGGGCCAGGCCTAGTCTACCTGTGTTATCTTACTTAAATTCTCAACAAGTTCTTGATGTACTGATCACAGGCAATCTTAGATGACAAGAAACTAAGGCTCAGAAAATTAAGTAAATGGCCAAAGACACAGAGGTGGTAAGTGAGAGGTCAAAGAAATGGTACTTTCAACTGCTCTTTCAACTATTCCTTTGATAAAAGGAAAGAAGGAAGTTAATGCTGGGTCATTGTTTACTAAAGATGTGAGTGTAGGCTAGTCACATAAAGTCTCTGGACTTCAATTTCCTCAGATGTGAATGTTGTTTTCTAGTATAGACATCAGTATTTTAGGGATTCCTGTTTAGCAATCCAGACCTTGAATTTCTGTTAGTGTATGGTATGCACTGAACTGTGCCCCCATCTCTCCAACATCCTCCTAAAATGTAATATTATGTCTTCGTTATCTCATCTTGTACTGAAAAGAACTCCCATGAGTTGGGTGTTAGTGGGGGCACACTTCAGGTGGAAGTCCTAACCTCCAGCACCTCGGAATGTGACTGTATTGGAGGCAGAGTCTTTGAAGAAGCAATTAAGGAGTCCATTACTGTGGGCCCTGATCTAGTATGACTGGTGTCCCCATAAGAAGAGGCAGTAAGGACACAGGCAGAGAGCAGAGTGTGTAGGGACACAGGGAGAAGAAGATAGCCTTCTACAAGCCATGCAGAGAGGACTCAGGAGGGATCGACCCTTCCAATGCCACGATATGAATTTATGAATTTCTATTGTTTAAACTATCCAGACTGTGCTTCTTAGCTATGGCAGCCCTAGCAGACTAAAACAGGAATAGAACCAGAACTTTCACAGAGATATCTAATTGTTCTTTGATAAATATTGAAATAAGGAATGTTGCCAGGGCTGCCAAAATGCTTCAGGTAGGTGTGCCTGTGAAAATCCTATCTGCAGGCTACAGGAAGATTCCAATTTAAAACTAGTGTCTAATCAGTCTTTTTCTGAGAAAAACAAAGCATGGAGAGCAGGATCAGAACCAGAAAGGTCATGTGACAGCAGGGACATCTCAGCAGGCTTTGCTACAGCAGTCACATTTTGGCATGAAGGAGGGTATGAGGAATAAACAGATTAAGACTTAACGCCACCAAATACAACCACGTGAAGAGAGTATTATGTCAATACTAAAGGGAGAAGGACCAATTCTTCACTTTGTGGTGAGGATTGGCAAGTTGATAAACATAAAACACTCGTAACGGTGTTTGGACAAATCGAGCTTCCGATAATGGTCTCACTATATTTTCCTTATTATTACTGAGTCATTTTAACAACCAGGATACGTAGAAACCTATGGTTAATGGACTTTCCAGCTCAATTTCCCTTCTTCCTTCTATATCTCCTTGTAGGCTAAGGAAGGCTCTATTTGACCTTTAAATGCTCAGGCTTAAGGATTTCTTTTCCTTGGAAAACACAGGAAATGGGCACCAAGTGTCCTAGCAGGTGCAGGGCCCTCTGCCAGATGTGTTCAATTCGCTCTCTCCTTTGGTCCTTTAGAAAGTTCTGGAAAAGACACATACCGAACTCCTTCAACTAGTGAGGAAAGTGAGACCTGTAATGAGTTCACAGCTTTTTCCCCAGTATGCCACGCTTCGATGGGCTGATAAGTGAAGAAACTAAATGGCTCCATAATTATACCCTGGTGGCATTTAGTCAGACTGTCCATGGGCTCACCAGCTGCCTTGGCAAATAAGGCGTTGTCTTGTACGGCAGCCCACAGGTTAGCCCCTCAGTTTCCAGATGAGCTTCTCTAATGGTTGTTACCGAGGACTCTTTAGGAAATCAAACACCTATTTTAAGAAGCTCCCTTTTGTGCTAATCTGAAATTTTCTCCGCCCTTGCATCCCCAAACAAGATTTTTCTTTTCATGTGCCCATCAAACATTTGCATAAATGTCTTATGCATAGACAGTATCCTGTGTGGTTAGCAAATATTCACTAAGTTGATCTATTGAAACTCAGTCATGCCGTGAGGTGCATGCTGCCAAAATTTCCCATCTAACCATGAAACTAAGGTACAGAAACATTAAGTAACTAGCCAGGGTCACAGCTAGTCAGTGACAATACTGGGATTCAATATACTTTGCAAAAATACTGACTTCCTCACACAGTCTCAGATAATCTCATGACCAAATCCAAACGCTCCCCCTCCTGTCTGAAGGCAGTCCAGAACATCGCAGGTTGAAGAATATAGACAAGTTGACACGTTCATGGAGCTTACTGTGTGTCAGGCTCTGGGTGAAAAACCAGTTTACAGGAAGTTCTTCCTGCCTTTGCTCTGAAGAAGCTGTGCCTTGGTGTCAGAATAAACTAGTGCCGATGGCGCTCAGTTCCTGCATGCCTTCCACAGCCTGAGCCCTTTGCCTTGCTGAGAAAAAAAAACTCACTTCTTTTTTTTTTTTTTTTTGGAGAGGTTTTCGCTATAGGGCGTGTGCGCTCGCCAGACAGAGAGAGAGAGAGACATAGAGACAGAAAGCGAGAAATCACCCCCTGGGGGGATGGTCACGCCGCAATCCCTTCTCCTCCATTCTCCTCTCAGGATCTTGGGCACACACGCACACACGCACACGCGCCCGGCGTGAGATTTAAGCCACCGGGTCCGAGACGCGAACCGCGGTCGACTACGTGGGAGTCCAGCAACATAGCCATTACGCTAACTGCTGGTTCCCAAAAACTCACTTCTTTTAAAAAAAGATAAAATAACTTGAAACAGCAATGTTCTATTAACTGCAACTCAATGATGAGCTACTTCATCTGGTGCTCAAATAAAGAAATAGCATCATTACTCAAACTCAGCAGGCAAATCATAAACGAGAATCGGGGGTGCTTTTGAACCCGTGTGGTTGTATAGCTATCTTGCAAGCCCCATGTTTAACTCACAGATGACAGAGCAACCCTCAACTCCTGGGGGTCATCTTCGATGTAAGAAGAGATGATGTTTTATATATTTATATGGCAGTACAGGGGTAGACTCAGAGGAGGGTGCTTCATAAATATCAGTCCCCTTTTAGTGATTCCTGAAAGTCCTTCATTAGGACTGTGTGGCCTGGTCTTGGGAAGAAAAGGCTCATACCAGTGCCTTGAAGTGTGCAAGACCCCCCCAGAGAAGGCACCACACACCACCCAGACACCTCACCAGAACAGAGGGTGAACGAATCCACCTGTGTCTGTGCAGATCAACCTAGGAAGCTCCATTTTACCGCAGACTAGGTATTTGGGTCATTCAGTTAGCGAGATGCCTAGAAATTCATCGGAATTCAGATGTGGGGATCACCTATCATCTGTTTCCCATGACTGTTATCACAAATTGCACACACTTGCTGATGAAACACAACAGCAGTGTATCTTCAGAGTTTCAGGCCTAGATGTCCAAAACCAAGGTATCAGCCTGACCACATCCCCTCTAGACACTCTAGGAATGGGTAAACTTCCTTGCCTCCCCTACTTCCGAGGCCTGGTAGCCGTCAGTTTCCCGGGGACGGTCACATCACTGTAATCTCAGTCTCTGCGGTCACAGTGCCTCTTTCTCTCTGGTTAAAATCTCCCGCTGCATCTATCTTAGAAGGGTACACATGAGCATTTCTCAGAGACCCCTCTCGAGAGCCTTGCCTTAATCCTATATCTTATTAACAATATCAAGTGATGTCAGCTATTTTAACATGCAGGATAATATTCACAGATTCTGGGACTGGGACATGGACATGTTGGGGTGGGCCAGGGTTGGGGTGGCCTCTCTTCTGCCCATTGGCTCAGTTCCTGGCCAGCCATTTATTTTACGCTTACACTATGCTAGACTCAATGCTCCGTACTAGGGACATGGACAGAATAAGGCAGCGGCCCTGCCGTCCGGGTGATAACCCGTTATTCCATGCCTCTCTGCACTAAGCAAGACTGAGATTGGTAGTAAACTGGCTCTGGCCAGACAGGGAGGCACCAGCCTTAGACAATCTGCAGTTTCACCTCTGCCAAACATCAGCCCTGCCTCTAAGTTTTATAAGCATGTTTGCCAACATTTCTGTGAGAGTTCAGAGAAGGGAGCAATCACAATTACCAGACCTTTCTTTGTTCTGCAAATGTTCTGAAAGTGATGATGGATGTTTCCTTGATAAATTAAATTTAAGACTAGGAGACAATTAACCCTGGGTTTATCTCTCACTTCCCCTGACTGAGGCTTTCTCTTCCTTTTCTCTTGGCACTTGTCTCTATTTCTCTTTTTATTTTCTGTCCTTTTTACTGTAATATTTGTGTCCAAACTGATTTATTTACTGCTCTGGCAAGGAAACATTTCCTAGCTTGTAAACAGGATAAACACGAAAGGTTTAAGCAGATCTAATATTGAGATGACATTTGCTCTCCTCCTGAAAATATAATTTAATATAAAAATAAGTACTCAATTATAATTTTTAAAGTCTCTTTAGGGTGATATTTCAGTTGTGGGCCAACACTAGCAGCCAATAATAAGAAGTGACAGTATGATTAATTGCACTGCCTTACTTCCAACTACCTATTAAAATTACAATTTCATATAAAATGTCATCCATGTAGTAGATTATTAAAGCAATTAATATTTAGTTCACTACTTGACACAGTCCTAAAGAAAACAAGAGTGAGAATACAAAGCAAGCATTTTCCCTCTGAAGATGGGTATCAGGAAAGAGAATTTCCTTTTAGCAGTGTGGGTTATTTTATGAAAGAGTTCTGCACAAGAAGTTTCTTTTTGTTAATCACTTTTTGTTTTATCAAGCATGACGAAGGAGGAAGGAAACTCTGTCCTTAGTCTATAATTGGAAATAAAATTAAGAAACTTCCTTGCTTCCTGAAAGCTATAAAGCCTATAAACTTCTCCAGTGATTTCATTGCTCTCATGATGTTTTTGGCAAACCTAGAAGGTAGGAGGTGATAGCAATGCATGATTTACTGAGTACTCGCTGTCAACTGAGGTACAGAAATGTTAAGTACCTAATAATTTCACATAACTTCTATATATGTGTGTTGACACAATTAATTCTCACATTGAACCTCCGTGGTTAAGCCCTTGTGTTATCATTGCTGTTTATGGATAGAGAAACTGAAACACAGAGAGAGTAATCAACTTGACCCAGTTCATACAGCTAGTGGGTAGGAGAACCAGGCTTTGAACTTAAGTCTTTAAGCTCTGCAAGCACATCACTTATGACTATCCTGTTGTAGTAGAAAAATTGTCCCCACCATAATTCTGCAACTCCTTATCTTATTATCAGATAAGAACTCGTATTTACTGTATACCTATCAGGGCAGTGCTATGTTCTGAATGTTCATGTGCCCCCAAAGTGTGTATGTTGATATTCTAACCCATGAGCTAACGCTATTAGGGCCTTTGGAAGGTATTAATGTCATGAGGGTGGAGCCCACATGAATGGGATTGGTGTACTCATGAAGGAGACTGCAGAAACTCTCACCCCTTCCACCCTGTGAGGACACAGTGAGGATGTACATCTGTGGACTAGAAAGTAAGCCTCCACAGACACTGAATCTATTGTTGCTTTCATCTTGGACTTCCCAGACTCCAGAACTGTGAGAAATAAATTTCTGCTATTTATCAACTGCCAAGTTTATAGTATTTTGTGGTAGCAGCCCAAATAGACAAAGACAAGCTAAGCACATAAATTTAAAAATAAAAAATAAAAATAAAAAAACTCTTCCATGAATTCAGTAAAAGGTTCAAAGCAGCCAAGACAATTACAGATTTAATCAGGACTCAGTGTGAAAAGACAAAATCCAACTCAAATGAGCTTGAATGGAGTTGAGCTCTGCTGGCTCATGTAACTGGTAAGGATGGGAACAGAGTAGAACCAAGGACTGATTGTCATGAAACTCATCACTTCACACTTCTTTCCCCAAGTTTTTGACCCCAACATGGTGCCTGTTTGCTCTTCACACCCTCCCACAGTGGTAGGAAGGAGCAGATGGCCATGGCAGTTACAGGTTTCTAACATTTCAATTTAGTGGTTCCCCAACGAAAGAGGCATTCGTGTCCAGCAGCCACAAGGAAGAGACGGCTCCTGGGTGGTGTGGTGAGGTTCGTGACCACTTCCATAGCGAATATCCCAAATAAAATCATCCACTTCTATAATAAATTATTTTCTGTCTGCCCCAACCAGAAGGTACTCTCCATAAAGGCAGAAACCTCATCAGTCTTACTCGCCATTGGATGTTCCTGCAGCCTCCCAACATCTTTGTTCCTAGGATGTTCTGGGAACAGGGAGGACTAGACAAAACGAACTCAGAATCAAAGTAGACATCGACTGTGGCTCCCTTTGCTCAGGCTGTGTCATCTCTACCCTGGTCTGATGGAGCACCAGTGTTCACACTCATAAGCAAAATACATAATGGAAAGAACAGACACATGTTCAGAAAAATTAGGCTCCATTTCTTGTTCTGGATCCCAAGCCGAAGTGTCCTTAGATCGTCAGGAAAGATCATTCTAACTGCCCTGCTCACTTCACAGTCTTTCTGGAGAAAATCGAAGTTGTCTTTAAGGCATGGAAGACATGTCGAACAAGCTCTTCCTAATTATGTCCCAATATTGCCCTCCAGAAACTTATCCAAACTCACATGTTTAGAATTATGGAATATGCTAAGTCAACACCCCTCCTTGTACATTCTCTATATACCATCTGCTTTAAATGTCTTTAACGCTCCCTTGTCTGGTTACTTAGAATTGCCATAACATATAGCCCATTTCAAGACTGTGTTCCTGAAAAGGCACTCTCTTAATTCCCTAAACCTGAAATAGTCTTACTATTCATTTAATTGTACCTTCGCTGTATATAGCTATAAAAACATTGACTTGTGATGTCACAAGAAGCCTAAGAAGGGCAGCTGAATTGCCTTAGAACTCCCAGCAGCCCTGTGGTAGTCATATGCTCTCTATGTACACTAGAATTTGGTAAAACAGGAGGTTTTCCAGGAGGGAGAATTTACTGCTGGCATTTCCTATCAATTGACTAAGTTCAAGCTTCAATCTATGTTTTGGTTGGTCTCAATTGGGACAAGATTAAGGAGGCTGCAGAGGTTCCATGGGGTAGATGACTGTGTAATTAATTCTCTGAGTTGCTTAGGGTAGGAAAGTTGTGGTAGCAATCTTCTTTTGGTAACAAGTGGAGCTTAATCAATGTGACCTGATTCTGGAGAAAGCGCTAAGGGTAGGAAATTTAGAGAGCCGTCCCAGGGTCTACTTTTGGTCTCCCAAGCACAGTTATTCTTCCTTGTTATCTTATTCTTTTCACTCATCCTTAAAGAGCTTGTTTGCCACAGCCTTAACAAGAAATTACTTTCTGACACACCTTTACAACCCAAGAATTGTTTAAATTACTTCACTTCTTTGGGACCAGCAGTTAGCGTAATGGCTATGTTGCTGGACTCCCATATAGTTGACCGCGGTTTGAATCCCGGACCCAGGGGCTTAAAAGACACCGGGCGCGTGTGCGTGTGTGCCCAAGATCCCAAGAGGAGAATGGAGGAGAAGGGATTGTGGCATGGCCATCCCCCCTGGGGGGTAATTTCTCGCTTTCTATCTCTCTGTCTGTCTCTCTTATCTGACAAGCACACGCACCATATAGCAAAAACCTCTCAAAAAAAAAAAAATTGTTCACGTATTCCTTAAACAAAGTGAAGTGCCTTGGCTGTACCATGCACAAAAGATATTTGAAAATTCATCAGCTTTTTTTTTTCTGTGTTTCAGAAGTTTGACTCAGTGAAAGACATCATCGAACACTACAAGTATTTTCCTATTATACTAATTGACGGGAAAGATAAAACCGGAACCCACAGGGAACAATGCTACCTAACTCAGCCACTCCCCATCACCAGACTTTTCCCGCCTTGGTAGCCTGTCTTTGTTTTGTCTCAGTTCAGTGGATTCAATGCTTTTATTATTTTTTCATTTATTTCCAAAGATTATTTTGGGTGTCTTCAAAGGATGACTATTTGGACTTTGTAGAAGAGAAAAAAATACAATAATAGAAACTGGAAAATCAATTTTAGATTTGAAAGTTCAAACTACAGAGGAAACATCTATAATATGCAAAAAATAAATAAAAAACTAGTTTTTGAAAGTATCTTCTAAACAACAAACTGTAAACATGGTCATTGAACCCATGTTACAAACAAACAGCAAAGTTATAAAACTACTGCTTAAATGTTTGCAGCTAGCACATGACAAACCCACATGAAATTCTACATCTGTCTTTACAGAGCAGGGTGCTGCCTTTATTTCAGGACTATCGGGGCTATGGATTTACAACATCTGGATGGTTTCTAATGCCAAAGATGTTGGTGAATATTAACTTATCTCATTTATTATCCTGGAACTTTAATCATAGGGGAAAAATGTGGAAAGGAAAACAACAGCACTTATGACGAGCACCTTAGACACAGAAATTGGAAATACTTGCATCATGATATAAAATGGCCATAAGACCCATCTCTAGCACACTCCACAGCAACTTTAAGCCAAATGGAATGAGCAGACTTACAGTAAGAAACTCAGAAGACTGTATCCTATTCCAGCCTTAAATCAAGCATACAGCTAACTGAAGTTTAAAAAAAAAAATGATAATTTGAATTATGGACTTCCATTCAAAGACAATAAGAACTGTCCTCAAAGTACTGTGGATTCTTTCAGTAACATTGTAAATATTATGAAATTGTCCCCTCTCAAGGTTAAGAAGATTTCACTTTATTCCTGATGAAAAAGCAGAGGCAGCTCAAAGAAAGAACTGATCTCTCTGAATATAAGAAGAGCACCCGAACTGTAATCCATCTGGCCTGTCTCCATGCAAGGACATCTCCCCAGATATATCAAGTACATTTCCTAACCCGGGAATTTCACAATCAAATCTAAAAGCTAAGTTTGAAAAAATAAATAAATAAATTAGAACAATTTGAAGATACAGATTCACTCATCTTAAAATTAACAAGCTTTTGTGGTGGGATAAGCTAAAAAAGAAAGAAAAAGAAGGTTTCATTGAAATGAATGATTGGTACACACTGGCTTCAAATGTTACCAGTGCCTACATGTGAAATTCACGTGGTATTTATGTAACATTAGTTTTATTGCAGAAGTAAAACCGTATAGATTTAAAAGGTAAAAGAACCAAGTAAAAACAACACAATGTCCAGGATATCTCTTCTCTGAAATAACTGGCAATCAGCTCCCTGGGAAGAACTCTCTGCACCTCCCACTAAGTAAACACCTGCTGGAGTGCTCTCCTTTCGAAATGCCAATATAAAAGAATACCTTTAAGCAAGATCAGGGCATTTGATGAAGAAGCTCTTTCTGAAGTTGGAATGCTCCATACTCAACTGAGACTATCTGAGAACACACCTTCACAGAATTAACATATGAATCAAGAGACAAGTGTTTCGATTGGAGCTTGGCTACTAAGAAGCAGACTGATCAGAGCTGAAGGGAAATGAGGACTCTACGGAAGGCTGTATAGTCTATGAAAAGTCCAACTCTCACCCTAAAAAGCTATTGAGACAGAGACCAGCAGTTAGCATAATGGCTATGTTGCTGGACTCCCACGTAATCGACAGCGGTTCAAGTCCCGGACCCAGTGGCTTAAACTCACGCAGGGCGCGTGTGCGTGTGTGCCCAAGATCCCGAGAGGAGAATGGAGGAGAAGGGATTGCAGCGTGGCCATCCCCTCTGGGAGGTGATTTCTCGCTTTCTAGCTCTCTGTCTCTCTCTGTCTGTCTGGCGAGCGCACGCGCCCTATAGCAAAAACCTCTCCAAAAAAAAAAACTATTGAGATGTAACTGAGAACGACAATTCACTAATTCCCTGAACCATGTCATTCATGGTTGTGTTCACAGGAAATGTTTCTGATCTTCTGTTGTGGTTAAAGTAGATGAATGTCAGGTGGATATTAGCATTTAATGAGGTGTATGGTTTTAAAAATTCAGTATCAGGGGCCGGCAGGTGGCGTGGTGGTTAAGGATGCTGGACTCCCATATGACCGACTGCGGTTCGAGTCTCGGACCTTGTGGCTTGCTTTCTCACTTTTTCTCTCTCTCAATCTCTCTCTCTCTCTCTCATCAAATTTAAATAAATAAATAGAGTTAAATAAAATAATTCTTTAAAAATGCAGCATTACCTCTTCTTCATAAATATATAGTATTTTTCTTTTCTTTTATATTTTAGTTTCTTTTTTTTTTTTTGTCATAGGGCAGATGCACTTATCAGAGAGCAACAAAGACAGAAGGGGAAATTGAAAAATCACCTCCCCACCACACACACACACAGGATAGCTACACCACAATCCCTTGTTCTCCACTCTCACTTCAGGATTCTCAACGTGGATACACATGCACCTGGCATTTTTTTCAAGCTGCCAGGTCCGGGACTTGAACCACAATTGTCTACAGAAGTACAGCACCTTAATCACCTCTCCACCTGCTAGACCTTATGTAATATGTTTGTAACAGGAAAAAAAAAAAAGGAGAAATCAACCATCTTTAAATCAAAAGCTCACAATACTCCCATATGTAATAATCTGAAAAGAAATACAAAATTCAAAATTTTGACAGAGGTTGCTACAAAGATGTTGGTGAACATTACCTTGAATTTGTGGGGTTATATTAGTGTTGGATCTTCTGAAACCCAAATGCCAAGGTGAAGTTAGAAGTGAAACACTGATTAGAGATTGAGGTCTAAGAAAGATAAAAGGGAGACAGAACAGAAGTAGCAAGGGAGGGCCTTTAAACTGCCACCTGTGGAAGGAAAGCAGGAAAGAAGGGCGGTAAGTGGATAAAGCACGAGACTGAGAAGCAGCTCCGGGAGAGTCTCGGACAGTACATGGTGAAATCCCGAGCAAGCATTGTCCATAAAAGAGAGTCTTATGTTGGACAGAAGTGACAACAATTCCTTGCCCCACCATATTAAGTCATTGCCTGGAGCTGCCCTGGGGTGGGAGGAGTGACCTTCAATTGCTATGGCTACCCAGAAGGCCCTGCAATGGAAGGTTGTCCACTAACTTGCTGACTAATGAGTTCTTTTAAGGGGAGATCCCATTGGCCCACCTCCACACCTGCCACAATGACATCCTGATTTCTAATGTTCTTGATGTCGATTGTAGTTATAAGATTTTGCTTTAAAGAATAAAGAATTATAGAGTTTAGTTACATTTGATTCATGTAGCAGTTCTAGAAAGGAGACAGGACAGATAGTCTTAATGCATTTTATAATTGATGTAACAGTGCCTCATGGGCCAAGATACCTGAGTCTGGGTGATTTATAAAGAAAGTAGAGCTTTGTTTGCAAATCTCACAATTTTGGTGGCTGGAAAGTCCAAAGGCATTACAAAATGGCAGTGACATTGTTTTCACTAGACTCAGGGTTCTCATATACAATTCTCCTATTCATTGTCTATCTGCTTCACTGAATCTGTAATTGAAAGTTTGGTAATTTGGGTTTGGCATGCCCAAATTCCAAAGTGTTTTAATTCCTCTTCAACTATTCTCTCATTTTCAGAGTAAAAGTGTCACTTGATATCTAACCTCAATAGAGTAGTGAACTTTTAGCTTTATCTAATTACAACATCTATGCATTCCAGATATTTCTTTTGGACTAAATAATTCTTATTCTGGATCATTTCTCATCTCCCTCATGCTTAATGAAATATTTTATAGCACTTTTTTGCATACTGCGTGGTATTTATTGTAGGGTGTTGTTGTGGATATTGAAAATATAGCAATGAATTAGGGAGAAAAGACAAGTATGTGTACAAATAAATAAGATAATCTAAGTTGGTTTTCTAATACTCTGTTGTATTTCCATCTTAAGACTTACTAGTTGCCTGTGGGGTAGAGCCAACATTATATATTTTGATGACACTCCTATGACTTGGCTTTGAAAAGTCCTAAACCAGAAAATTCAAATTTTTCCAAAATTAATTTTAAAAAATCCTCTTAATGTGTGTGTGTGTGTGTGTGTGTGTGTATCTGTGTTTGAGTAACTGCATCATAGTCAAAACCAATTAAATCTTCTGTTGTACTTACTATGAAGATATCAAATTTGCCCCAGAAGGACTGCTATTATGTGTGCATACACATACACAACTTTTTACAAGATAGCCTATATTGTGTATGATTAGTATTGTATCTGTGCATTTGTATATTTATAATTATTTTCCTGAGTAGTATTTGTTCTAGCTAGGCATATTTACTTTTTCTGAACATTCGTGATTAACAGGTATGCTAACTTAAATAAGAGCAAATATGTAATTAAATATTATAATATTCTCTGTAACTGAGTATTAAAGAAGAGAATGCAAAACATAGTTTAATTTTGTTTGTTTCATGCCTTATTAACCCTCAAGCCCTTTTGAAATCATATTTACAGCAAATTTAAGATAAAATTTCTAGAACAGTTATTGACATATGAACACTATGCTAGATTTTTGGAATAAAGGGAAAAAAAGATGCAATCTCTGTAATTAAGAGTTCAGAGTCTGGAGACCAGCACTTAGTGTAATGACTATGTGGCTGGACTCCCATGAGGTCGACCATGGTTAGAGTCCCAGACCTGGTGGCTTAAACTAACATGGGGCACGTGTGCATGTATGCCCAAGATCCTGAGAGGAGAACGGAGGAGAAGGGATTGCGACGTGGCCATCCCCCATGGGGGGGGGTGTCTCGCTTTCTGCCTCTCGGTCTCTCTCTCTCTGTCTTTCTTGTGAACGCAAACGCCCTATAGCAAAAACCTCTCCAAAAAAAAAAAAAAAGAGTTCAGAGTCTGTCAAACAAGATATTAGGCCATCAGGAAAGTCATGTTGTCTTTCTTTCTTCTTTCTTCTTTCTTTCTTTCCTTTCTTTCCCCCCCCCCTTTAGAGGTTTTTGCCTTAAGGCACTCGCACTCACTGGAGAGAGAGAAACAGATACAGTAAGAAGGAAAGTGAGAAATCATCCCCTGGGGGAGATGACCAAGCTACATTGCCTTTTCCTTCATTATCTTCCCAGGATCTGGGGCATGCATGCATTCGTGAGTGTTAAAGCACCAGGTCCAGGACTCGAACCATGGTCTGCCATGTGGGAGTCCAGTGACATAATCGCCATGCCATCTGCTGACCTCTGATGTGTTTTTCTATGTAAAATGCGTCATGGCTTTCCCGACAACCCAGGACATACGTAAAATAATCCTATGTGAACTGACTAGCCCATTGTGGTCTCCATCTGCATTCCCTGGTGATTGGTGACAGTGAGCGCTTTTTCATACACCTACTGACCACTATCAAAACACAAAAGATAATGTGCTGGCAAGGATGTGGATTAACTGGAACCCTCTACACTGTTAGTGTAATATCAGATTGTGCAGTCACAATTCGTTGTGCAGAAAACAGAGTTTCCGCCAAAAAATAAAAATAGAACTACCATATTTAGCAATATCACTTCTGGGTTCTCTAAATCTGTTATTGTGTTGCTAACAGAAATTCCTGAGTCTGGGTGATTTGTAAAGAAAATAGAGCTTTGTTCGCAAATCTCACAATTCTGATGGCTGGAAAGTCCAAAGGCATCACAAAATGGAAGAGGGCAGAGCAAAGTGTGATCTGAATCCATGAATTTCTCTCCCTCTGGTCTCATTTCCTCTGCTGATAAACCTGCCAATACTCAAGCATAAGGACCTGCCTAATGATCTCATCACACCCTTTGGCCCTACCCTGGGACACCATGAAGGCATTAAGGTTTTGCTTAATACTTCTACAATACATTTAGCCTTAACACATAAATGTAAGAGAGCATCCTGGTCACCAGTCTCTAAGACCAAATTCCATAAAAGTTGGGGAACAAACCATAATCGAAAACATAACATGGGTTTCAATCCAAAGGAATCAAAATTGTATATCAAAGAGATATCTTCACTCCTGTATTCTCTGGAGTATTATTTACAATAGGCAAGAAAGAAACAATGCTCATATCAATCAACAGATGAGAGGATACAGAAAATGTGTTATATACATACAATGGGATATTATTTTTCCTTAATAAAAAAGCAAATCCTCCCATATGTGACAGTGTGGATGAACCTGGAGGACTTTGTATTAAATAAGGATGAAAGTACAGAAGGACAAATACTCAATGGCCCCATTTATATAAGGTATCTAAAATAGTCAAGCTCATAGAAACAGAAATTAAAATAATAGTTGCCAGGGATTAGGAGAAAGGGACAAAAGTGAGTATAATAGGAATAATATTTCATTTAAGTGGTCCAGCAGATGGCATGAAGGTTAAGGCAACTGGATTCCGCATAGCCAACTTTGCAGTTCAAGTCCCAGACCCAGAGACTTGAAACTCACTCTGGGCACATGTGCTTGTGTACCCCTCAGTGTGAGCACCCTAAAACAAAAACTTAACAAGAAAAAAAATTAAATAAAAATTATAATTACACTAGAAAAATAAGTTCTAAAGAGCTGTTGTATAATATTGTGCCTATAGTCAAGCAATATATTGTACACTTAAAATTTTGTACAAAGGATTGATCTTATGTTTGGTGTCTTACCACAAAGAAAGAAGAGGAGAAGAGAAGGAAACTTTGA